TGTGGTGGATGAAGACATGGGAGCTCTGGATTGTGAAGCCACGAAGTTCTGTCTTGAGACCCACAGCCAAGTTAATGAAGGAAACCATGGGTATGCCTATGACAGGTCTGATGCAATCTTCCAGTCTGATAGGAGCCATTGTTGCTCTCACAGAATTCCACAGGAAGGCCTGCTTCTGCTGGTATCTGTGGGATATGGCACCTTCCATGTATGCGATGTCTGTCACCTTCCTCTACCAGGGAGCCCTGTCTTATAAACAGCTTGGGTGTGTAAGTCCAGATAAAGCACAAGGCAATTATTGCAATTAGTCAAAATTATCCTAGGAAAAGCTTTTTCCTCAAACGATTCGGCTGTTTCTTCAGCAATGATTTTAGCTCAAGTCAGTACACTGAACAGATAGATTCTTGTCAGTGGTGATGTCACTGGTCACAATTAAGTTATCAGCTTTTAGTTTTCTAAGTCTAGGTTTGTTTAGTAGATGTTTCATTCAAAGTAGGTGTCAGGTATGAAATGGTTTGAAACCACTGACTAGGACATATGAGACACATCAAAAGCAGACACTGGACTTCCGGGAGAACATGGTGGATAGATAACAGCAGCTATGGAGGCTCTCTGAAATAGTCAGCTTAGAATCCAGGAATGGTGCAGTATGAGGAGTCCTAAGCAAGGGGAGATATACCCTGCCGACCCAGGAACGAACTAAGCTGAGAGAAACCAACTGGAAATGCAATCCCGGTGCTATAACCGGAACAGATAAAATCTCAGCACGTAAGCTGGAACCCGTGCCTCTGGAAGCCGCGATTTGAATTTCCTGCCACCACTGCTGCATCTGAATCTGCACAGCAGGGAAAGAGATGCATGAAAGCTCTGAGAGCGGAATCAGCAAACGGAGTTGAGAGCAGGACTGGCGGGGAGCCCTGCATTGACCTTCGGTGAGAGAGAGGAATGGGGACCCTTCCATAGACTAGGAGGCTCCAAAAGAGGACATTCTGGGACTGGGCAGACTAGCCGTGACTTTAGTCGCATATTCCCCTCTAGTGGGATTGGTGGGGAGTGCTTGGCCTGGTGATGCCACGGACTAAGATCTAGTAGGCTAGTCCAAACCAGGTCCCTGTGCCTGGTGGTGCACCCTAGCAGTGAAGCCTTCACTAGGTTGATCTGGAGGGACGGGCCCAGCAGAGGCTGCCCAGGTCTGTGTCTCCCTAGTACACTGCAGTGGGTACATCTAGCTGGTACATTCAAAGAAACTGTAACAGACAAAGAGAAAAGAAAAAAACTGGGCCTCCTACATACGCTTGTATGGAAGGAACAAAAAGTATGGGAAGAGGGAGCAACAAGAAAGGGTCCTCAGTGCCCAATCCTGAGAACACTGATCCAGGAAAGGTAAATACAAAGGAGAATGAGGACAGAAAACATGCAATATCAGAACCAGCACCAATAGACATAAAGCGATATCTCCGGAGCCTCATAGATGAGTTCAAAAGTGAAGTATTTAATGAAATAAAGCAAGATATAAGTAGAATAGTTAGAGAAATGCTAAGCACTGCCCAAGAAAAAACAGATGGTGGAATGGAAGAACAGAAAAAAAGGGGAGAATTGTTTGATGGAGAAAATAGAGAAAACATAGAATATGTGAAGCAGGTTCAAAGAGATTACCAGGAAACTAAAAACTATCGAAAGTTAGCATAACAGCTTGAAAGAAACTAAGGATAGATTTCTGAACTGGAGAGCAGATTTGTAATGTGGGAGCATGAAATGAAAAACTTCTTAAAAATAACAAGAAAACAAACAGCAATAATACAAAGGCTAGAAGATGATAAGAGAATCTGTAACTTAAGACTTAAGAACATAAAAGAAGAAGTAGGGACACAAACAAATAAACTACAAAAGCTATTCACAGAAATGATACAGGATAATTTCCCTAATTTAGCAAAAGGTAAAGATACTCAGATGTATGAGGCATACAGGACTCCAGCCATCTACAATCGAAACAGAGCTAAACCCAGGCATATAATAATCAAAATTCCAGAAATCCAATATAAGAACAGAATATGAAAAGCCATCAGAGACAAGAAACAAATCACTTACAAGGGAACACCCATCAGAATTACAGCAGACTTCTCGGCACAAACCATCCAATCACGAAGAGCATGGGGGGAAATAACTCAAGATTTGAAAGATAATAACCTCCAGCCAAGACTGATATATCCTGCACAACTGTCCCTCGAAATTGATGGAAAAACAAGGTGCTTCCAGGATAAAGAGGAACTAGGGGAATTTGCAACCACCAATTCAACTCTACAGAGAATACTGCAAGATATTCTAAAAAAGGAAAATACCAAGATTCCAGAAACAGTGGCAGAGAGGCCACAATGAATGGAGCAGAAAGCAAAATGAAGAAGACAAACTGACAACTAATGACAGAAAAAGAGCTCAACAGAAATGAGGCAGAGAAGGTTGGGTGGTAGGAACAGCTATTTTGGAGAAAACAAGACATCATAATTGCTAGTGCTGATTTAGTATCATCTTGTTTTGAAGTCCCATCAAGCTTTTTTTCTTTTGTCTCCATCGTTCTTAACAGGTTGTGTCTTATTGGATTTTATTATATATGATAATATAAGCAAAAACTTTTATAGACAAGGAGATTATACAAAAAACATTGTTCATTTTCTGCTAGTTGGTTTAATACTGTCGTGAATAGTTTTACATTGTCTTGAGATGTTTGGTGCTACAGTATATGAAGTTATACTCAAAGCTTTCAAGGAAAGAGACACTATGGTAACTACTTTTATGTCGGAATATCTGGTGGTGAAACACTATTTTGCTTAAATGGTTATGTTTTGACCTGCGCTGTTTTGTTGTTATGCCCTCTTTTATCTCAATCTCCATTTACTTTTTTACTTTTGTCTTTTTAATTAAGGGAAAAATAAATTTAAAAATAGCAGGATATATTATAGTAACCCACTTTGATTTCCTATTAACTTGATTTGAAACCCTGTATAGCCCTCACCATCTTGTTTTGACTGATTTTCCTCTATTCTGTTTTGCTTGATAGTACCAAGTTCGAAAGTATAGGCAACAACTGTGAAGACAATAAGATTCATTATGACACCCATTCTGGTTGACCATTATCTTCTTTTGAAGTCCTGTAATGTCTTCAATGTTTTGGTTTTATTCTTTACTGTTTTGTTCAATTTTATTATAACTGACAATATAGGCAATTCTTTTTAAGATAGCAAGAGGCTATCTTGTAGATCTTTAGTGTATCTTGTAGATTCTTTTTAAGATAGCAAGAGGCTATCTTGTTGATCACTCTTATTTTGTTTTTACATTATGTATTATGTCCATCCTTTTGATTTGACTGACTCTGTTCTGTTATGTCACATTTGGTTTTACTCTCTTCAAAAAAAAGTAATAAGAACTGTGGGAGTAATAAAACCCAAAATGTGTAATTGTCATAGTACAAAAGAGAGGAAAAGAAAGTGCTCTAAAGGATATAACTGCATGTATATTTAAGTGTGTAAGATAGAAAATCATATTACTGAGTTTTGTTGGATCATTGAACAGAACTGTTTGCAGTCTCATTGTTTGAAAGTCCACTATATATGCTTTAAATTTGTAACTTGAACAACTATTTCTAAGACGACTATATGTAATCTATTAACTAGTGATTTCCTACTGTTTATTTTTTCTGAAATTCTGTATAACTTGTACCCTTTCTCTGTTTTTTTTTCTTTTTCTCATTAAATAAAATTTAAAAAAAAAATCAGACACTGACATTTTAACTAACCCTGGATCTAAGCCATCTCATTGTGCCATCTTACACATGCTAAGTGATCGGCACAGTCTAGTGAATGACTTTGCCAATGACGAGGGCTTAGCAGCATGGCTGGCTGAATGATTAAAGAACAGGAGCATTGGGATGCTGGCCCTGAGGTTCTAAATGAGAACTCTTGGTTCTACAGCCCAACGCCATCACTCACAACATTACTAAAGTATTACTGAGCACTTCTGTGCGCCAGCAAGGTTTTCTGTGACCTTCTGGAAAAGCGCTTTCCAATTGCCCTTAATATGAGATATGGTACACTGATGTGGTCTTGTCCAACTCCCTGCCAGACCTGACAGACTACGTGTCCTATTTACAGCACTGTCCTTAGTTCCCAGGAAAGTGCATTGTACACACCAGTGCTCCTTACTACTGAATGAAGGCTGCACTATGCAATCTCCGATGCCACAACATTTAACAGAATTTCTTTCTCTGTACTCCTTCACACCTTTTTTCTGGGTTGCTCAACCAAATATTAGACAATCTTTGTTATTCTGGTCATTCTCAAGATGTTGCTACCTAACTTGTCAGAAGCTTTTTGCCCCAGAAAAAAATATGTGTTCAATACAGGTGGGCTAACCTCTCAAGCAGGTCAAATCCCTACGCGGCTCTTTGATAAGATGTTTTTCAGCTTGCCCAAATCTTTAGTTTCAACAGCTATAATTTCCTACTATTACTAAATTTTTTCCCTTTTGGAGAATTCCTAAGCAAAGAGAGACACTCTGAGGGTCTATGACAAGAAAGGACCAGTGACAAGTCAGTTGCGCATATTTAAAACCTGGTAATGTTTCTGTTGTTGAGAGCTGTCATTTCCACCCGCAGCCCAGCACCATGACTGCATTGCCAAGTTACTGTCCAGTCACCAGCAGCAGGGGACCATCCCAGACACCTGGTCCTGGATAACAGGTACAAGCAGCTCTTCAAAGCATTATAACTAAGCTATGATAGTTACCCTGTTAATAATGTAAACCCTCAGAGAATGTAAAATACTATCTGGACAAACTTTAGTGATACAGTCAGCAAGGAGTAAGACAACACCACAAAACACAAGGTTAGAGGGAAGCAAATAAATGGGAAACAGCCTTTAGCCACCAGGAAAACGCCCAGCCTTCAGCCACCAGGAAAATGAAACAGCACCAGTACAAAAGAAGGCACAAAATTTTCCTTTAATTACCTTCAGATTTAGGACTAGGAGTAGATGCAGGAAACTGGTAGGTAGGAGTGTAAGGATTGTCCTCTGCAGCAGAGAAAAGTAGTGGATTTTGAAACTACCCACCATGAAGTGGAGGGACTAACAACTCCCAGTTGATTCTTTTGAATAATTACCTATTTTAGTGTTATTAAAGCACACAGGCATCACACTCAAAAATAGATTAATAAATTAGAAAGGACTTAGTCATTTTAATATAGCACATCATGCAAATGAATGAAATAAAATGTTCGCCAACCAAAAAAGCTATATAAAATCTAAAAGCCAAATCTGATGCCTATAATGGAGCTCTAAGAACTAATTTAAGGCTAGGACAACAGATAAACTGTCTTAATTTATGGTACCTTCAGAATTTTGCTGGATTTCAGGAAGTTCAGGGAATTTGTACGTAGGGAAATAAGGGTTTTCTTCAGGAGTGTCTAGGCAGAGGAACAAGTTTGGGAGAGAGAATAAAGGCAGATACAAATGGAGAGAATGAACAAGAAGGAATCTACAGACAATTTAGACTCCTTGAATTCTGGAACACAGTAAACTTCACTGATCATACAAAAGAAATTCAAATTGCTTTTACAAATCCAGTCTTTTTGCCTGAATAACTGAGACACATCAAAAAGAGACAATATCACTACTTTCATGGACAGTGAATTATACATAATAAACAGGCTGCAGAATGGGCACAAACCTTTAAGTTTTCACTATTTATAAGCCAGAGATATTAAGTATGATAGTAAGTAATATGTAATGAAAATAATATCCTAAAATAATTTTTTTCAATCAAAGCTTATGCTGTGGGTGTTAGACTCAAGCAAACAAGTGAAGTCTTAATTTCTCACATTCTATTGCCTCCCATCAGGGCAGGTAGTTTTGTTTAGAATCTGTAATTTAGTTGTGTTAATAACTATAATTCTGCTTGCAGAGCAGAATTAGATATTTTGCACATATACATGCACTTGTCACTGTGTTTAGTCTTCCAAAGCTAAGTCTGAGGGACAGAGGCACAAATTGCTAAAGAAAATGCAGTCATTTTAGGAAGTGATCAATGGAGCTGACCCAGCCAGTCACAGAGATCTAGCATTCAGCATCCCCATGATGACTGAACTCATCCATCCAACCATAGCACACTTACTCTTGCCTCAGAAACGCTAAATACTGAGCATCTCAATATTTAGAGACAGTTTGAAGAGGGTCACACCCTGGCTTATTTTGAACCCAGCAGGAGCTAATTAACAGTGATGTTAGTTGGCATCTGCAACTAATCAGAGAATGGATATTTGTGGTTTAGGTGGGAACACAGACTGGAACACACTTTCTTTGCCTTCATGTGTCATCCATGCCAGGCAGCCAGACTGGATTTGGGCACAAGAAAGGAAAGCTTGCTCTGCCTGCAGGAGAAATGGTACCCACCCCACAGTGTAGCAACATCCCTGCCTATGTACTGATTGAAGGCATAGGTAGCAATGGGAGCTGGTGAGGTTGTGACCTGCTCCAGCACTGGCCTAGGTTCTCCCTCCATGCTGGGACACCTGCAGACAGTCCAGCAGCCCTATGATCTGGGAGCACCTCTCTTTCAGCTTGAGCAGGTTCTACTGTGTCAGCTCTTGACTGACACAGCTTGCCGTCTGGCAAGTGCTAACTCCCAGAGGGAAACTTATTTTTCATACGAACATACCCTTAGAGGTATATTATGCATTCTATTTCACAAGGCCAAATGTGTTCTCATATGGATTCTGAAACAACCTTTGGAAGAAGGGAAAGAAGATAAACAGAAAGACAGATGATTAGGCCAAAGTCATATGAGTACTTGGCAGGGGCTGAAAATACATGAGAAGTTTTCTTGATTTCTCGTTCAGGGCTTGTCCAACTTGCCTGGCCTGCAAGGCAGTCATGGGCTGACACAGGATGCAACTAAAGCTGGAAGCAGGTGGGAGATGGAGCTGTTCACATCTCAGGCGGTAGGTACAGAGCACAGGCATAGTGTTAGCCTCAGCTTACTGCATTCTGCAGGAGCTGGGAGGGAAGACGTGTGAGCTGACCTCCAGTTACAAAGCAGAGGTAGGCACACAGGAGCATCACCCCTCCTGGGTCTGAAGGCAAATGACTGGGCTCAGGCAGGTCAGTACCTAGTGGGATCCACGTGCAGGACCCCGGTTCCTGGAGTCTAAACAAAATGACTTCAGGCCCACACCACCAGTCAACATATGGGCACTTAGCTTTGACAAGTGAAAATCAGTACCTCTGTTCAGTTTGTGGATCTGTTTAAACATGGTCTTGTACCAGTCTTTTGATCGTTCAGTATTCTGGAGAAAAGGTAAAATGAAATGAAGATGTTAGCATATTTCAGAATTTATATGTTCACAATATCAAAATCAAACAGGGAAATCACAACATCTTAAGTCAAAACTCAGCCACCTTCGTATCTTAAATATAAAAATTTGGAGAAAAAACAAAGTTAGAATTTACAGACTATTTGGTGAAAAAGATGCATTTCTTGAAGAAAAGTGGGCAAAGACAGGCTTGAATTATGTCTTTTACTAATTTTTTTAAATCTCTTTTTTCATACAAATTTCTCCCATAGGCAAAATACAAGAAACTGAAGTAAAGTTACAAGGCAAAAATACTTGCTTTATCATACTGTGCCCCCAACCATTCTGGGTTCCTCTGTAGGTAAGTATCCAAGTCACCTCGCATAGGTCAGATTTAGAATGCATACATTAAAACATATCCTGTTATAGTACCCAATACCAGAGCATCATCCTCACCACAAATCTGGGTAGTTTTTTTCATTATTTTTAAGATAAAAATAAAACAAGGAAAGACAGATAGTCAGTTATGTTAAAATAGTTTCCCTCCTACTTTACAGATGAAGATACGAGATTTTTCCCAAGGTCACAGAGATGGGACAAAAGTGATCAGGAGGCCCTCCTAACATAATGGTGAGGGCCACAGGTTTGGGAGCTGGTCAAACACTATCACCCACAAGTTGTGCAATTTTGGAAGACTAATGTAGTTCCTCAGAGTCTCTGTTTCCTCACTGGTATGGTTTGGATGAATGTCCCCTAGACATCCATATTTAAAGGTATGGTTTCTGGGTTAGTTCTGTGGGATCTAGTGGAAGGTCATTAGGTACATAGGTACCTGCCTTCAAAAAGAATAGAAGGACCCCGCATGTCTTTTCTGTTTCCTGGCTCATAATATAAGCACAATTCTGATGTACCCTTCTCTCATGAAGTGCCACCTTTACTGGAGCCCCATATCGAGGGAACAACTCAATTTTTGTCTTGAACCTCCAAAACTACAAGCCAAAATAAACCTATCTTTACTTTATAAATTGACTATTTCATTGTAGTGATGCAAAATTGATTAACATCTATAAAATGGGTACAATTTTAGGACTACTCATTCCAGGTCTAAATTAGATAATGTATTCAGCAAACGATAGCTGCAATAATAGCTGGTAATAATTTGCTTTCAATATTATTATTTAGGAACAGGTTAGAGTTCCTTTGAAAGTTAGCTCATGACTGTTTCTTTTGGCCTCTTTCAAAACGATACAAACAATATCCCTTTTTCCAAAATGAAATCACGAAGGGACATAGTGCAGCCAGTGGACTGTTAGACATGGAGAGAAATGCAATTCACTTGAGTCTAGCTTCAAAAGGTAGGTTGCCCTGCATTCCTTAGGGTCTGAAGGACCCTAGGACACCTAACCAGCAAGAAGAGCAGAGAATGGTTGCCAGGCGACCTGCTCTAGCCTCCTCTAGCATTTCCTGCTGACTCTGAATGATGGGTAGCTCCTACCCTGGGCAATCTTCTTCCTAAACCCATAAACAGGGATGCGGCCCTCACATTCTCCAGGATGCTCTACCTCTGGAGCAAGAATTTCTGAACAGGCTCCATCCACAAAATGGTAGCAAAGGAAGATATCCCATGGCATCCTCCCCTGAACATTCACAAGGCCAAAGCCTCTCATTCTGCTGCAGAGAAACCTCTGACTCTGTGCCACCCAGATAGCCTTCCTTTTCATTTCATCGTGAAATTTATTTTTCCATGAGATTAATTAACACTCCCCACCCACTCTGGAAAAGCTGTCATGTGCCACATCTGGAACACAGCTTATGAGGGGAGGGGTCTGGCACTTCAGGTCAGATGCCAGTGCAAGGCCCGCCCTTCCAGGCCTCCATAACCCACACATGGGGTTCACATGCACTCTGAGTGGCATTCTTGTCATGACTTGTTGAAGCTGAAGTATAAAAGGACCTTTTAGGTCAGTATTCATACCCGGAGCGGAATGCCCACTTCATCCATGGACACATCGCTTAGGTCCTGCGTGCTTTTCACCACTCGCCTACTGTCATCTTTTGCTCTTTTTTCAGTAGTGCTGCTGGGTGATGTGGGTTTTTCCTGGGTTGGTGATGAGTTCTCACCCACTCTTCTTTCTGAGACAGAATCTGGAAATGAAAAGCACTAGTTATCTGAAGCACTTCTAACAGCACCAAAGCAAAACACTCTCAAACAGTCCAGTCAGGGGAAAGAGTATTTGCTAACTCCCAACTGAAACTATCGTCACTTAAGGCAGAGATCAGCGAAGTGTAGCCCATGGGTTGGCCACCTATTTTTGTAACTAAAGTTTTGCTGAAACACAGCCATGCATGTTCATTTATATGTTATTTATGGATGCCTTTGTGATACCAGGGCTAAGCTGAAGAGCTGGGACTATACTTCCTACAAAACCTAAACTATTTTTTATCTGGCCTTTTAAAAATATTTTATAACAATGTGTTTTGCAGAGGTATTCTGGATATTCAAGTAGTTCCGAAAATTCTAGACACTACTAGAGCAGGTAGGGCCATAAGGAGGTGATTAAAAATTACTGGGAAGTTTGTACTTCCTCTTCAGAAAGTCATTTAACTTTTCTGTGCCTCATTTTTCTCATCCAAAAATGGGAATAATGTTTCCACTGGCAAGCTCACAGCAGTGTCACATAATGAGGCTTATTAAGATAATTAAAGCCGAAGTACTCAGAGAGCTATACAGTACTAAGAGCTTCTCCAAGTTTATTTAATTTGGCTCAACATCAGAAGTTATAGAGAGCTAACAAACATTCAAGGTGGTTTTCAAATTATACAATTACTTATTATACTTTATTATTCCAAGCCATGTCATTCACTGACTGGGGAGCCACAACTAAACACCTGCCAGATGCTCTGAATTGTGCTCTCCTGGAGACACAAGGGTGCACATCTCAGAATCCTTGGACTTCAGGGAGTTTGTATGGGAAGTGGGGGGGGGGGGAGCCAACAATGAGAATGTGGGAGGATAAGGTCTAAAAAGGATTCAGCATTCAGCTCAGCTAGGAAATTTAGGTTCAGGGCCAACTTGTCTGAGAACAGGAAGTGGAAGGTGCTCTGACAGAGGGAAGAGCATAAGCAAATGCCCAGGTGCCTCTTTGCTACTCCAAGATCACAATGTGCCAGGCACTGCACTGCGTACTCCTCACAGATTGCCACCTTTCATCCTCCCAATAGCTTTCTGAGTGAGAAACTACTACTCTTCTAATTTTTTTAAATAGTTAAGCAGACCAACACTCAGAGATGTTAAAGTTCCCTGCTTTAAGTCATGAAGCCAGCACATGGCCAAGCTGGGATGTGGCCTGGTGTCCACTTGACTACTCTCTGAGCCAGGTACTCACTCACCTTCCTCAAAGGTTTCCTAGGAAAGGGAAGTGAGTTGGGGAAGTGAGAGACAGATGGCTGTTTCCATTTAGACCACCGTAACTTTGAGAAGGCAGTGAAACACTCAGGCAAAAATATTCTAGAGACTCCAGGAGAAATATGGAGGGAGTCCAGTTGAGATGCCTTGGCATGAGTGCAATTTTGGAGTCATCAGCACAAAAGCCATAGCAATGTGAAGACCACATAAGAATTCAAGGGGTGGAAGGAGGTGAGAACAGAGCAAAGGCTGAAGTCCTGCACTGAGTGATGTCAAAGGTGCAGGCTGAAAAGCAGAAGAACCTGCAAACAGATATGGGAGTCGTGCAAGGCATAACAGAGCAACCAGGAAATATGACATATACAAAAGCAGACGCAACAGAAATAAGATGTGGGTGGTTGAACATGTTAAAAAAATAAAATTAAAAAAAAAAAAAAGAAACACACCTACCCAAAAATTGAAGCCGAAGAGGAGGCATTAGATTAGGCAAGAGGAAAATCACAGAACACTGAAGCAAACAGTTCAGAAGGGCAGGTGCCAGTCAGCAGAAAAAGTGATAGATCATAAGCAGAAAGCAGGGAGATAATGCAGTACAGAAGAAAGACTTTTTCAGGTAACTGGAGAGGTCTAAAAGGCTTAAGCCTTAAGCCCTATCAACAAAGCCCAAAAGAGAATGAAGGACATCGATATGTGCTGGCTATTCGTTAAATGCTCATTGACTAGACAGAGGTGCAAAGCGCAGGCTGGGCTATGATACAAGTGATGCCTCGGTTCAGGAAGTTAATACTTTCCATGCTTCTGGTTGCAAATTGAATTGGACAAGAATTGAATCAAAGTCAGTGGTTAGGTTTAATGTTGACTTCACAGGGAAATTTGATTCGGTTCTCCTTTAATTCACCTTGCAGTAAGAATCATGGAAAGAATGAAGTTTGTGAACAGAGTTGCCACTGTGCTTTGTCAAAAAGAAAGGAAAAAATAAGGCTCCAAGGGTCGATGCAAAGTTGTGGCAGTCAGAGGTATCTGTGTGTGGGCAGCTGGAAACAGGGAAGTCAGGATGCTCAGGTTTTACTATTTCAAGCAGGGTGGCTTCCTCTCAGCGGGATGGCTCTTGCCCTGATTTCAAACAAACTTCTAAAATTTATGCTCCATCTATAAGGGCAGAATGATTGCTAAATATTCTATGCAAAACTCATGCTTCAGAAAACCCAGTTTCTGGAACCATCACCATATACTGTAAAGGATTTAAACCAGGCTGGCTTTATACGACAAGATCTTATACTCTAGGAAATTCCAACATGAGTCCATATATTTGGCAGAAAGGACGGGGACATTCTGAGTCTACCCATAATTTGGCTTTTTGAGCACTACCACTAGGAAAAGCTTCCCTAGGTGAGACCAAGAAAGCGCAGGCAAACGGGGTCCAAACTCCACCTGATATGTGAAGGTGCTCATTACCATCATGCTGTAAGGTAGGGAAACCACAGACATCAATTCTCAAGGGTTTCTAGACCCACAATAATTCTTTTTTTAAAAAAAATGTTTTCAGGGCAGATGGTTGCAACTGTAAGACTCATGATAATAGTTTATGGATTTGCCAGAGTCCTTTTGATCTATAAAAACTAGCCTGAAATGATTTTATTTTCAAAGTTTATTATCATGTAATCCCTAACTGAGTAGATTTTGATGTATGGAGAAATGAACTACAGATCTTGAATAAAAAGTGTTACATTATAGAGTGAAAAACCAAAGTGACAATTGTTTCATGCAGATGACAGAGCCACCCTTTTACCATCCAAGTTACAGAGAAAGCTTGCTCTCACTTCTTACTAGGAAGACAAGAATCCAGCATACGATAGGGCATTTCTTTCTAATTTACTGTGCTTTTTAAAGACAGTCTTGGACCACTAAATAAATGATGATACCAACAATTCAGACAGGGCCTCTATGTACGGGAGGAGAGTTAAAATTTTCCTATCCCCAAAGCTTTACGACTGAGGATGACAGCCACACTTATATTGCCCTGGAAAAGAAAGTTGGCCTCTCTACACCCTGTGCTAGACCCCATCCTAGCCTTGTTTCCTTATCTTGTAAGTCTTCCCTTCTTCTAAGAAGACTATGAACCACATAAGTCAAAAATGGGGAGGTTCCATTCCAGATGACTCTCTGAGCATCATGACCCAAAGAAGGCTCTGTTAAAGCATGGAGGTTGGTGGCCTTGAGGCCCATCCCCCAAGTAAGCCTCATTTGCTCCAAGGCTCACAGTCTGGGAAGTGCCAGCCCAGCCAGCTTTCCATTGGAAGCTCCTGAACAAAATTACTTCCATTTAAACAAAAAACTAACAACTTAATGAGCATCTGCTCTAGGTCCATTGTATCAAACATCATTAGTGGATCTGTCTCAAAACCCAAGAAAGGTGGTATCATTAGTCTTGTTTGAGAGCTGAGCCTACCAGCATGGTGGAGAAGCCCTCCTACGAATTGGCTCTTTCCAGGGTACAAAGGATCCTCCTATTTCAGTCACATACAACAGCTCCTCCAGGCAGGAGCAAGCTTAGCATCCTCATTTCCTACATGAGGAAACTGAAGTCAAAGAGGTGAAATCACTTGTCCAGTGACAAAGAGCTCTGAGAAGGGAAATCCAGGACCCACGCTGGCTCTCCTAACATGTGGCTGGTTGCTTAATTCATCCATTCCACTATGTCTTTCAAAACCTCACCGACAGAAAGGAGCCCACCAGAGCAACCTTTTACTGTTTCCCCCCAGGGCGACTGCCCTCAGCAACCTGGACTGGGGCCAGGGAATGAAGCGGACTATAATATGGCAGCTTGAGGAGGGCAGTGAGGGCACCTGGAACTCAACTGCAGCCTGTCCTGGTCCTGTGGCTAAGTCCTGATAAACCCAAGAGAGTGTGAGAACCCCACGTCCTCCCTACCCAGACTCCGCACAAATCACGGGAACAGCAGAGGCATAAATCTCACGCAGAAACATGTATCAGCTGCTCAGAAAATGGTGGCTTCAGTTATTTGCCAGATTAGAGGTTCTTAACCCTGGAGTTCATGAGTATTTGCAAATCCATGGAATTCATGTATATATATTTGCATAGATGTGGCTTTTATGGAGAATGAATCTACTGCCTTCATTAGATTATCCCAAGAAGGACATGACCAAAGAAAGATGACAGAACATCGCATCACACCACCAGCTAACTATGGGCAGCACAGTTCTCTGATGCAGCCCCAGAGCCTGGCTCTGTGCCTGAAACAAAGAAGGTACTCAGTGAAATGACTAATGAGGAGTCAGCAGAGGGCCCTGCTATAACAATAACTCACAACCAGTAAGTATTTAGCAAGTGCCAAGCTCAAGCACTCAGTTGTTTATAAGCAGAATCTCCTTTGGTCTTCAAGCAGAAAAGCTATAGGAAATGGCTAAACTTCCCTGTATTCCTAGGATATCTCAAAAATTCACCAGTACATCTAGCCCTTGCTCCCCCTAACATTGTAGCACAAACCTGCATACTTCCTTAGGGAATGAGCCCTGAAATCTGTTTCTATCTGCAATCACTCTACACTGTCATAGGCCTTGATGACCCACTTATCACCCAGAGGGGACGATATTAACACCACCCACCCAGAGCTGGTTAAAGGTGCAGATTCTCTTCTGTACTCATTAAACCTGAATCTCTAGAGACAAAGCCTGGGAATCTGAGCTTTAACAAAATCTCCAGGAAATCCTGATGCCAAATTCAAGGAGCAATTTCAGGCACTGCTGACTTGAAGACTCTCACATGAACCCACATTTCCAGGGTTATCTACCGGCATCTGGGCTTGCCACCCAAAACTTACTTGTCCATACTTCCCAACCCCAGACTTGTCACCTCCCAAGAGAGTCACCGAAGCAACAAAAGGTAACCTCTTCAGAGGCCTGCCCTGAGTGCTACATCTAAAGCAGAGTCCTCTGTGCTCTTCAGCCAGCACATCCTGTCTTACCATCATGGCACTCATCACAGTTCCAGGGGACATGAATACTACTTTGGTTTACTAGCCCCAGAGGCAAGCTGCAGCAGGTAGAAATGATGTCTATTTTCATCATCTTTCTTACCTAGCAACAGAGATCCCAACACATACAGGAGCTCAGACATTTGTACTGACTGAACATAGGCTAGTGACTAAAAGCCCACTTTAACAGAAACAAGAGTTGATGTGCAAATAAATATATTCCTCACTTACCTGAAAGGCTACTGAGTCGTTTTTGCTGCTCTATGATAAAAGAAAAGAAGACATGGTAAGAGTGAGATTTATATAGTACATGGCAAGACAAGGAAGTCCTGGCATAGCTATTGTAATTAGGGTCCAAGACTGCAATCTCACTGTCCTTTGGGCTTCGGTACTAAAATACCGAGTTAGAGTCAGGTTCCCAAATATCTGCAGAACTCCACCCCTTACTTGGTCCTGCCTCTGTTTTCTAGAAGTTTGTATCTCATCTCAAAATGATCTCATCACTGAAGGAGATCCTCCCAACTCCTCTGGTTTCACATGACAGGACTTCATATGATCTCAGATTTGGTATCTTTTGAGGAAAATCTGATTAGAACCACAAGCATGGCAGCTACCATCACCTGAGATCTTGCTAAAAGCCAGGCTCCATTTTAAGAGATCTTACACATAACACTTGAAAATTGTGGCAACAGTTAGGCATGAATATTTTCTCATTGTACAGACTTAGTCCCTGTACCAATCTGGCTGGGTCCAGAGTACATGAGAAATCTTAAAACAATGAGCATTTACCAAAAACCTCCAATAAAGGGCTCAAGTCATCCAATAAAACACTGGGCAACCCCAACATCTCCACTGGAGAGTTCTGGGTGTACTTGCCATTTGATAAACACAAAAATGACCTTTACCTTCCACAGCTGCTAAATATAAAGCAGCCACACAGATAAAAATAGAACATTTGCCAGGCCTTGGGTGCTGTCGCCATCCCTCTTGGCCACATTCCCATCCTCCAGTTACAATCAGTGTGAGCAAGAAGTAAACAGGGCAGCAAGGGAGCTAAAGGCTAGTGGAGTAGAATGTCCCCTCCTGATGTGTGGCTGGGGTTCACACAGGTTGGACAAGCAGAGGTCCACTGGAGCACTAGGCTAGGCTCTGCCAACAAGTGACCAGATGACAATGGCCATCCACATAACCTCTTAGCCTCAGGTGCTTTGTCTGTAACGTCAAGGTATTTAGTAGTATCTCAAGGGATACATGGCTGCCAAACCTATTGAAATAGTGGCAGCAGCCAGCACAAGTAAAGCCAGCACAAGTGAAACACTATGGTGTAAAATTGCCTTTCATAGGATGTCACACACGCACATACATGCGTGTACACACACATGCACACACACATATTTCAGTGGTGTTACACAGCAAAGGGAGAAGTTAGCCACAATGGGGTGATCCCTAGACAATTTCGCATGCCCACAGATACGTCTGGGAATTTCTGAACACTTGCTTTCCAGTATGGTCCATGGTCAAAAGCACAGGCAAGCTGGCAGGCTTTCTGAAAATGCAAACCCTCATCCTCTTGCCCTCTTTAGAGCCTCTGAACCTGAAACTGCAAGTTAAAAAGACTTTTTGGGTCCAAAACAAAATAAATATTGAGAAGTCCTGATAAAGGGACACACACACTTGTGTAGGTCCTGAGAGTTTCTTGACTCAAATCCTCTTTTCCAGACTAATGATAAAATAACTTGCCCTTCAACACACGTGATATGAAAACTCAGGAGAAAAGAAAAGGGATTGTCTATCAACACTAAGGGCAGAGCCTTGCCTCTCTATTTGCTCCTAGTAGAGGAAGAGTGGCTTAGAGAGAAGAAATTATTGTCATATTACGCCCTTGGTCTGTCTAAGCAGGAGAAAAAGGGAACTTTAAGTTGACTAAAACAGAATTCCAAAAGTAGAGTAAAGGTTTCATTCTCTTGGGAGACCATGCAATAGTTACAACTGTCCTCATGTGTACTGCCTATGAGTTTCTGGCAGAGATGCCAAGTTAGGTAATTCCCAAAGCAGTACCTAAAACACTTGACCTTAATCCCATTTACGATTACAGGGTTGGCCTGGCCAGGTTCTCCCATTCTTTCAACTCTTCCTGCCCCACCTGCTTGTGAACATATGGTTTTACTCTTTATGGGAGGCATCCTTTAATTCTAAAAAAATCTAATATCATTATTTGTGTTTTTTTTCTGAAGGATGAGTGTCTTAAGCTGTATAATTACGAGTTTTAAACCCAAGGGCAGAACTGGGCCAAAAGAGAAAGTAAGAATCAAAGGTAGCTGGGTAAATTAGAGGAACTCCTTTTTTCAATAAAGAAGCAAAAGAGGAACTACAGTCCTAACTGTGCCTAAAGACATCTCACTAGGTGCCATCAGAGAGTCTTGGCAAAAGCCGCTGACACTAGCATTTTCCTAGAACTAAGTTGCTATGGGAATAAATCCCATTTTTAAAGAAACTGTCTTTCCTTCTGGGAATCAACTTGCTTGGATTAGATTTTTCTAAAGTGAGTCACAAAGAAGTTCACAGAGAACCAAAATTTCACTTTGTCTTGCATTACAGACACTTGGGGGGCAAGAAGAATTACTGCCAGTAAAAGGGTGACATAGCTAAGGGGCAAAAGGGCTGGTACAAAGTTCAGTGCGGGACCTTGTTTTTTCTTCTGAAGCACATAGACTCGTGAGGGAAAATGAATATGAAAGCAGCACATGATGCAAAAAAATGACTGTTTAAGACTTGAGTGGGACTATTTTAAGTGAGAGAACATGTTTTATGCATCTATTTTCAAGTTAGAAGCAGGAAACAGAAAACTATTTAGTATGAACAACAATTAAAAATAGACTCCAGTATCATTCTCATCCAAGTTGATTCAGAAGGGAGGGGCAAGAAAGGGAGGAAATGAAGAAGCAGGCAAAAAAGAGAGTCAGAGGGAGATCTGGAACCCAGGTGGGAGCCTGAACCATTGAATGAGTAAAGCTCCACTTTCCTTTGAAATTCATACCAAACAGCCCTCCTCTTCACGGGAAGATAGCTGAAAACTTTCCATTTTATGCTGCAAAGGACTTTTGTAAATAGCAAGTATATTCCTCTATGAAATTCCAAAAAGGAAAACTTGGGATTTAGAATCACCATCTGGGATTTTAAAGCCGAAGGGTCAACATCTCCAATTAATAACTCAAACCTCAAGGCCCCTCAGAGTATGCAGCAAAACCAACCAAAATAGTCAGAGAAACTATAAAAACTAAACATGAAAACTCTAAGCAGAACTGGCTGATTGCACGGTGCAGGCCCAAACACCCACACAAACATCAGTCCCAGAGGGCAACGTTGAACAGCAGCCTAGAGCAGCAACGACTGGGAAGGAGAGCCAGAATCACTAAAAAGGAATCCGGTAGCCTGTTTTAGAGGCACAAAAGCACATTTTATATTTCAGAAAGTTTTCTATCCAATGTTTTATTTTTTTAAACTTGGTACTCAAAATTATGCTTCCTAGAAATATATCATGTTGAAGAACTAAATCACTTATGATACTACTTTAAAATCTTAGATTTTCAGATGGGTTGTAGGGGCACATGTCTGTAATCCCAGTGTTCTGGAGGCTAAGGAAGGAGAATCACCAGGAGCTTGACGCCAGCCTTGGAAACAGTGAATTCAAGGCCAGCCTGAACTGTATAGCAAGAACCTGTTTAAAAACAAAACAAAACAATAAAATAAAATACCAGAAAAAAAACACAAAAACACCCTAGATTCTAGATTTTCTAAGCAAAGCTTTGCCAGAAATCACATGGTAAGGAATTAAGAGGTACAGACTTTTTTGCATTTTGGTGTTACTGTCTACAGATAATCATGAACACCCCATGTGAGGCATATGGAACTACACTATCCCAGCTAACTTCTACAGACACTTGATATCTTCTCAAATTAGTGACCTCCATTTGCCTGCTGGGATCAACCTTCAGGATCATGCAAATAAGTAAACTGGGGCAGATAGTCCAGGACTGGATTTGTGAACATTTCTGTTGAATGACAGAAGTCTTGCCCAAGATATCAAGAAATAGCTAGCTTGACTCTGGTGAGCTAAGAGAGGACACACTTTGAGGCTCCCTTACCTCTATTATGCTGCAAGAGTACAATGGTGGGATTAACAATTGTTGTGGAGGGGTAAACAGATGATGGTTTGCTAGCTGGTAGAAAGGCTTGCAAATCAGTTGCAATATGAGAAGAAGAAACTTCATTTAGTAGAGGACTGGAACCCTGAAAAGAAAACAAACAAAGTAACTAATTGTAAATGCAGGACATCTAGAGTCAATGCTTTTAAAAGGAAGAAATCTAAAACTTTACAAAGGTTTTAGTTATAAACAGAAATGTAGTCCAGAAGACATTTCATCATTAATTCCAGTTAGAAGTTTAATCTGGGACGCTTATTCTCTTGTTTGTATTAGTAAGGGGAAAGAAAGGGAAGTTAAATGTCGCTGACAGTCTCAGCAGCACCATTCCTTATTTTAACCTGCTAGTAGTTTTGGGTCAATCCAGTTACTGAAAAAGCAAATTTAAATCAAAGTAGAATAACATGCAAAACCCATGCAATTCCAAATGCGATCCAGGAATGACAGCCAGATTAATTGGGAAAAATCAGGGAAACTTAGTATAATGTGTTGAGAAATGTAAGACTATATGAAGACAAGATATAAGATGATATAAGAACAAGGAAGAGTAGTGATTCTCTCAGAAAGCTGCTCTTAGTATCAGAATCACCAAACAATTCTACTAATGCTTGCTTCTAACATCTGAATATTATCCTATCATGCTGTGAAATTTTTTCACTCTAATAATAGAGTGATAAAGATCCCCGAAGTAAAGATGTGTGCAACAAATGAAAATAGGGCCCTGAAATGTAGTGAGGGTACATAGACACTTTCCTCCATCATATTTATACATTTTACAAGGTTTCTATTTTGGAATTTATAAACCTCAAAGCAAATGACATTCTTAAGTGGTTTTAAGAACAATATTTTAATAACTATTCTTGAAGCAATTATTAAGCTCAGTCAGTAGTAATCAACCACTGGGAACACACCTGGCCAGACAAGGGACACGCTTTCCCTTTCTTCCTGCCATCACCCTGCACAATGTCCCGCACATAGCAGATGCTCAGTAAATGTCACGAGCATTTACCAACAAGAGCACATCTGATCTAACAACTGTGGCAAGAGTACATATGCGCAATGGAAGACAGGATGTGGGTACCAGCACCCACGACAACTCCTACCACACTGTGGGGACTTCAAGATCACACTGCCGGGGCTGGGGATTTAGCTCAGCGGCATAAGTGCCTGCCTTGTAAGCAGGCAGTTGTGAGTTCAATCCCTGGTACCAATAAAAAGGAAAAAGACCAAAAAAAAAAAAAAAAAAAAAATCACACTGCCAGTCAGTCCTTTTCTTTTGAAAGTTCCCAGAACTGCTGATAGTAATGAGCAGCAGTAGTGGGTGAATAAAATATTTTTCCCAAGTCTTTGAGAGGCACACTATGATCTTGTAAGTGCCTTCTCAACTCCTCCATTTAGGAACTAGGAAATATTTACACTTTTCCTAATTTATCTCAACAGTGACTTAATAAAGGTGTATGACATATTTAAAACACTGCCAAAACACGCCAAGAAACAAAATACAAAGCACACAGCTCTTTAAAGCATATATGTCCAATGTGATGTCTGGGGAGATCACAAAAGCACCGAGCATTTAACCAATTTTATTCTGTATCCTACTTCTGAACATTACACAAACAGCTACTGACAAAATAAATAAATAAATACAAATAAAAAAAATTTTTTAAAAACCTGGCTGAATCATCATGACTTTTATTCTTTTCCCTTATTTCCAAATAGTGACAGATAGAACAGAAGTTGGAATCATGACTTGGACACCATCCATTGGGTCCTTCCTGTACTTAAAAATTCTCATTCAGAGAAGGAATCCAAGCAGTTTCTTTTTTCACCTTTTACTGTTACATAGGGTCAAACCAGAATTTATCAAGCCAAATTTGAGAAGTTTACACCAGGCTAATGAATCAGGGTTAAGAAACTGAGGATTCTGTCCCAACTCAGATGTCCTGGCATGCTTGGAATAAACTCAATATGAAAACCTAGAGCTATGCAAATGATAAATTACAGGGTCATACAAAACTACTTACTCTGGGGTATAAGTACACTAAAAATATGGCTCACATTATCTGCTACTCTTGAGAAACACATTTTGTGTACCCCTATTCCCCAAAACTTAAAGTGGCTTTCAAATTCACCAAGAAGTTCAGCTTGGAGGATGGGAAAGTACATAAGGGAACAAGCGGGTAGATTTCTCCATCAGGGACTGAGCTATAAAGCCCTCAGTCAGGCTATCCAAGCCCTTGGGTTATATCTGGCCAGTCCTGGCCAACTGCACAGTGCTGCATCTAGAGATGTAAGAAGAGGCCTTAGCCCAGCGTGTGACAGTCAGTCCCCAGCTTTGGTATGCCTGATGCCTCATTAAAATTTCTGTAAGAAGCCAAATAAGAAGTTTCTTCACTGCTTTCTGCATGACTGGCTTCAGCTTAATAAGCCACTTGGGCCAGTTCTGTAGGCATACCTTGTCACACAGTGGAATGTCACTGATCAGTTAGTTCCACCAGCCAAGCTCACTGTATCTCAAAATATGACCTGGGACCTGCTGGGATGCTTAAAACCAGGTGAGAATCCTAGGCCCTTCCTAGACCCACTCCATTAGCAACTAAGAGTTTAGACCTTCCTCTCCCTCCGGCGTACACTAACTTTGAGAACTAATACACTAACCCCTAAAATACACTTGAAAGCAAAGAACTTGGTTTGTTCATAGGTGCACCTGTGATGCCTAGCAGACTGCTCAGAATGTGATAAAAACTCAGAGATTACATGTTAATTAATCAGCTGCTTTAGCGTGACTGGCTCCTCATCTGCTAGAGGAAGCCCCAGTAGCATAGTTAATGTTTAATGGTCACATTCTCTATGCCAGAATTCAGTCCCACTGATCCCTACAACCCCATGAGTAGATCCATATTCAGTATCTCCACATTATAGTTCACATTGAAGTCCTTCCAATTCTTTCAATTCCCAGGGCTCATAAAGAAAAAAAGAAACCCAAATGCTTCCCACCTGTGGAGGGAATCACTCTTCTCTCACAGGATGGACCTGAGATGTCAGGGCCCTTTAACTTCACAACCCCTGACTACTGGTGCACCCTGTGCCACAAAGGCCTCTGAGCCTCCTCCTCCTTAGAAGCTCTCACATCTCAAGCCTGTCTATCTTTTGAAAAACTCCTAACATCTGTACAAGGCTTCCAGGTTCATTGGCCAAATAAACCTGTCTAATTTTGTTTCTACCCTGGTCTCCACCACTTCTGTTATAAAAGGGAGACAGTTTACGCATAAAATCAACGGAAGAGAAATCTTCTCCTCCTCCAGAACCCTTCTGCCCCCTGGTACACTGTCCTGTAGAACCACACCTACATTGGCTTTCCCCCACATAATTCTGCAGCTTTTCTCAGTTCTTAAATTTTCATCTGTCTGATCTACCAAGAGCAAGACTAGGCAAAGTAAAGGCCACAGATGTTTTCTCAGAGGGAAGACAAAGTGCTTTCAGGAAGACATGCATTCTCAACAGGACAAGAGGAGGCCCTTCAGAGATGCAAATAGCCACAATGACCCAGGGACACCCAAGGGTAGCATGCACTCTAGGGACAGCAGACCCAAGTCCAGTCATTACACAAGCACAGCAACAGCCAACACTTTGCTCAGAACTTAGTACTCCAGTGAGAAAGAGAGATTTACTGCCAGGAGTAGACATTCAGGGAAGCTGGGGGAGGGAAGTCCAGCAAGCTTACGGTACTTGAAACAGCTCCCGTGAGGTCAGGCTCGGAGATTCTGTGGAGGTCCTCCGGTATGGGAGGGACCAGCGGAGGTGGTGGTGAGAAGGATGGTGGTGTCTGGCTAACAGGGGGAAGGGAGCCACAAGCACTGGCTGGCTGGCTGTGGTGGGGCCGCCTCTGCAGATGAGGGGGAATGAAATCATCTAGAGTCGGGAAGGTCAGAGGTAAGGCAGCAGGGGTGGTCACCAGGGTAGTGTGGATGCAGCCAAGTGGCTCCAGAGATGCTGGAGATCTGGCAGTGCCTTCTTGCCCTCTGTCAGTATTAACCAGGTAGAGAGGGACAACTATTACCTCAGGCTGAGCTGGGCCGGAGGAAGTGGCATCCTGTGGGAAATAAGGGGGTCGTTATGTAAAGGGGTACAGCAGGGACAAATGAATTCCATATTTAAACAGTTGAAAGTGGCCATGCAGTGATGTACTCGGAGAAATATTTAATCAGTGCCCTTTCCTCACAGTACATGAGACAGTTAGTGCTGGCCAGCTGGCCTCCTGATACTCCATGACACAGAGGGAGCTCTATCCAAGTTTACTTTCCATCCATCTATTTTTGAATTCTTTTAACACTTCATGAGAGAGAAAGAGAAAGAACGAGAGAACAGGCAGGCAGGCTGTGTTTCACCCCACAAAACCACTGTAGAATCGGAAAGCTTGGGAATAAATACTATTTCTTTGGCACCTTGACATAAAATTTAAACACTTCATTATCTCATCACCTTATTAGTCTATGGATTTCATGATCTGGCATACTTTGGCATTTACAGGAAAGAGAGAAGGAGAGAAGAGAGGTCTGTGTTTAGAAAGAAGAATTCAGATTCAAGCTGCCGTAATATTAATGAGGAAAGGGAGGGTAAGGAAGTCCAGAGAACATATTAGCTGCTCACATCAGTTTCAAAAGAGACAGTGTAGAAGACACACAAACATTCCTAAATTCTTGCCTTGGCTGGACAACTTGGCTGCAAAAGGTAAATTTCTTTGCTCTTCTGTTTTTCAGGATCAGAAGTAAATTGGGGGCCTAGCACAGGTGGTCTCACTGCATCTGGAAACGAAGCCCAAGTCCCCAGAGAAGGACTCCCGCCACAGTTACCAGCATCTTTATGGATGTCAAAGAATAGCTTGGAAGGGTCAGGAGGAGGAACAGAGGGCAGTTTTCCTGTGCCGGCTGTGCGGGGGACAAGGCTGGGAGCTGGTGCCCGGGTGCCTGCAGCCTCTGAGGGAGTGTCTTTGGCCGGGTCACGTGCACCATGAGAGGAGTTTTCTGATGCGGCCTGGCAAATGTTATTGGATAAACAAGGTACATATAAGCTGCTGATCTTTTTATTCCCGATGGCCTCATGATGTGGGTTAGAGCTCACATTCCTATTAGGAACTAACCTTGTGGCTGCATAGTGGCGCTGGGGTTTGGATAAAGCATTGGGAAAAGTGGAACCCAGAAGCAAAGGACCAGAATACACAGCATCTTTGGGAGCCAAAGTAGCTGTCAGGGAAACAGAGATGGGCTGAGGTTGTGAGGGGTTCTGCTGGCTGGGACTGCTGAGTGGAATGTAAGGCTTTGGTGAGCTCACGTATAGGGAGTCTTTATGGGTACTGCAGAGTGTGGGGGACCGCCATGCAAAGCACACCTCTGGAGGAGGACAAGGGCGTGAAGAGAAAATCTTTAGTAGTATTTTTAAGACACGATAACAAACCAAGGAAAAAAGAAAGAAAAAGAAGGGGAGATGGAAAGAAGGATGACCATTAGAAACAACAGTATAACACAATCTGAAGACAACAAAAACTCTTGACACATTTTAAAGCAAATCCTCAAGCTGGCCTCCTCGTGGTGCCTGTAGTTTTCCTCAGAGCATAACCAAGGACTAGCTTATACTCACCTGGAAAAGCTGGTCTGACTCGCACCCCAGGGAGGCTGAGCCAACCCAAAATAATCTATGTCACCTTCAACACCAGTCCTTGATTAGTTGCATCATCATGGACCTCCTGACTCCGGGAAGCCCAGGAGAATAAGCCCCAGAGACCCCATTCCCTTGAAATTGCCATTCCACAAGACTTTTTCCCTTGAAGGCTTTACTTTAAAATTTGAAGTTCATTAGACTCTTCTGAGTTTCTTTCATTCTTTTCCCTTAGGAAAAGAAAAAATGAAAGAACTATATATATTTTTACGTATTTATAGGAAATAGATATCTGCATTGAGCCACTAAGGTTTAACCCTCAACTCCATACACATAATAAATTAAAGCTCACCAAGAAGAGGACACTATGGACTTTGATGCACATGTGCTCTTTTATCAGGGGAAAAAAATCTGATAGAAATAATTTCAGTATAAAGATGCTAAGGATGTAGCCCTGTAGTAGAACATCTGCCTAGCATGCACAGAGATACTGGGTTTCATTCCTAGAACACTCCCCCCAAAAAGGGAAGAGGAAACCAGCTCTGAAAGTAAAAGCACACGGTTCATAGTCTACCACTTTTGATGTGAACAGGAAAAAGGACCAGGCATTGTGCTCATATTTCAGTTTATTGGATTATACTATGCCGAGTATATCAAATCCACCTACCACAATGCACAGAGAATCTACTCTAGAGGAGGATGATTGGCCTCAGAATTACAACTTGACCCCAAAGCTCTGAGTACAGGTTCAGAGTAACAAAACTATAGTTTACAACTCTTCCCTCGTCTCTCAACACCACTCTTCCATGCGTCTCAGGGGAGCCAAGAGCCAAGAAGTTGGATGACTCTCCAGACTAAGCCTCTTCTTGCAACCTGCAGGTCAACTGGGCATGAGACTATGAGAGGAAGAAAGCTCAAGCTCCTAGAAATTCTCCACCAGTTCTTATCTTTACAGATAACCCCAGACTATAATAAACCCAGAACCCTCTTCCAAACTGTACAAGTTAAAGGATATTACAGTTTGGTCAATATCTATTAAATGGGTTGCAACTAAAAGCTAAGAGGGTATAAAGGTGGGGGTGTTCATCTTGGAGTTTTGTATTTTACTTTTGAATTTTATAGAGTACATATGGGGATGGAAAGCACACTAAAGAACATGAACAAATAAGGATTTTTTTTAAATTTATGAGTTTGAATTAGAATATTAACTGAGAAACAGTAAGTAACTGACCTATCCTTTAGATTTTCTTAAAACCTATCCTCTAGGTTGTAACGCAGCTTTTAAGTTACAAATAATATGAGTGGACTATATGGATATTCTCCAGCAACTCAGTTCCTGTCCCATCCTTAATGTGTCCAAAATGGTATCAGTGGGATGTGGCTGTACATACCAGACAAAAATATAACATGAACAGCCCCTCTCTGACACACAGGAAGGAAAAACCTTTCAGAAGAACTCACGTGGTTCATCAACTTCTAATGGGACTTTGGGTATGTTTACAGTCTACATGATGCCCTCCCAAAACAAAATATTTGGACTAGGATGCACCAAAGGGACTGCCAGTTAGCTGATATTGGCTATTGAGAGTTAAGCAAAAGACCTCTTTATTTGGGTTCAGATTGACTTTTACTTTGAGCTCACATATCTTGCATGTGATTTCTTTTTGTCCAAAGATAGAAATCAGTTTCAATTAGTTTTTAACTCAACTTGGTTGTGGCCATATATGGTACCAGGACACTATCACAGCAGGCATGAGCCTGCCCAGCCTTGTGACCCTGCAGAAAGGATTCTTCCCCACAGTATTCACAATCCACTCAAAACCAAAGGACTTCCTGTCACCAGGCCTCTTTTAGCCCTAAAGAAGAAGGCAGATAAGAGAAACTACTTTTTGTTTCATTGTTAACACTGCAGAAATCACACAGACATTTTTTATTCTTGCCTAGTTGGCTACTAAGGATATTCCACATATTTTTAAAATGAAGATGAGTGGAAAAATTGAGGCTTCTTGAAAAATTTGGTTTATAGTTTACATAGTTCCAGAAACTACCTCCACTTCCTCTGTGAATGGGCACAACGATAATGATATTACAAAGAGGGAGAACTTCTCTCCCTCTTCCTTGAAGGGAGGAGGGCATTAGGTCTAGTTTTATAGGACAAGTGTTCCCATCTGTCCTGTGGGTCTCCTAAACGGTAACTCATCCCTATAAGGATACACTCAGAGCATGGGGTTGTAAGAGCTCTCTCAGCTGAAATCAAGTGAGAGGCCCAGCCTAGCCCAATCAACCATGGATTTGTTGAAGCCAAACTCTACTTACCAATCTATTAATGGCTATGTATTCAGGAAGTTATGTTTATATTCAGAAAGTAAATCTAAAAATTATGCATGATCCAAAGGTTCTTGAAATTTGGTTGACCAATTTTACACTGAATATGCAGGAAAAAAGCCACTATATCAACCACATATCACATTCCCTTTCAAAAGCTCTACTAAAAAAAATTGCATGAAAGATAAGAAAATACTCTGTTTAGGATGTTTGGCCTTATTAAGAAGCTAAGAGTATTGACTCACACACAAAACTCCACCTTTCTGTGAAGACAGAAAGATCACAACTTTGAGGCCAACCTCACCAACTCAGTAAGTTTTGTCTCAAAACAAAATATTTTTAAGAGTTGGGGTAGAGGCTGGAGATGCAACATAGTATAAAGACTGGTTCAATCTCTAGTGCCACTAAAATAAAATAAAATAAATTCCTTGAGGGCAAAATTTACTAACACAGTAATTTTAACATAACAGCGTATTCAATAAAGCTATTGTAAATAAAGGTATCTAAAACAAATGTTTCTTTACTTCCTATGCTTTTAAAATGATCTCTTAAAAAAGAGGTACAGTGGTACCTTGGTTAATGAATGCTTTTGCCTGCAAACAATTAGGTTTCCAAACAGAAGCACTTGGCAAAATTTTGTTTTGGTTTGTAAACTCTGCTCTGGGTGACAAACATGACCACAGCCATCTTTCCCACACAAATACAATTATGGCCATCTTTTTCAAAATTGTACAGTAAATGAAGTCCATGAACCAAGGGATATTTACAAAGCCAAAAGGAATGACTGAGTTACCCTAGGAGCTAAACCAATGATGACAGAAAATGATGTGCTTCTACATTTCCTTTGAATTCATCAACACTGCTTCTTAATCTGGACAGAGCTAATTGTGTGCATTCTTAAAATGTCTGAGAAGGAAGCATGTCGGCCACTGGCAGCACATTTGACCGTTCAAACATGTTTCAGAAGTGGCAAGTCATTTACCAGACAAGCAACCTCTCAAGTCCCTGTGTCTAACGAGAACCAGGAGGCCAGGCATGGTCACAGATCCTGGTTCTAATGGGGGCTCTGGATGCCCATGCTGTATTCAGGGTAGGCGGGGTCAGGGGGAGTAAGTCACCGCAGTGGTGGAAAGCCTTAACAGTGCTGCTTAGCGCACAAGGCAAAAAAAGCCCCCAAGGCCAGCCTGAAAAGTCCGAGGTCAGCAGAAAACATCACCTCTGAGTTGGTTTCATTGCATGAGTCAGAGCAACTTTATATTCTCATTGGCAGAAGCCAAAGAATTGCTAGAGAAGAGGGGTGGGAACTAGGAAAGATCTTTGGAAATTTTAGGTTCCTTGTGAGCTCTGGGAACACCTCCTGAGGGAGGCACAGAAAAGAGGACCATAACAAGGATATATTTCTGCAATATGAGGACAGGAAGCCCCTGACTTATGAATGTCCAAGTTGTGAACTTTCACAGGTGTACTGTGCAAGACTCACTTTGTCAGATTATGAACAAATCTAGCTTACAAACATTCTCCCAGAACAAGACTCAGAGACTTACTGTAACACCACTTTCTTTAAGAGAAAACAGCTCCATTCTGTGAAAGTGGCTGCTTTATGTAAAAATATTCTTCACAGATCACCTGAATTGTAACACTGTCCATCCTTTTCATCAAATTTGGCAATGTATCAATAGGGAAGGAAAGGAAGAAAGTCTGAGAAACCAGGTAGGAGAAAGGACCTAAAGAAAATTATCCTCACTCTAGGTTGCACAGCTTTGGGGAATTTTCTGTTGTATGGTAAAGTTCTATTGTGGAGTAGAATGTGTGAATGAGGCTACGCTGCCATTTTGAGTTCTATTTGTAGGGTTGGGCTCTTGGATTTAGAGTCTGGCCACAGCTACATGATAATAATCTGTAACGACAGTTGCTTGAACTCTTAGAGCCCACCTCTAGAAAATTAATGAAATAAGCACAAAAATCACTCTTGAATATTACCTGATAAATAGTTTTATAAAAATAACCTCAGACTAAGGGTCAGGGATTTAGCTCAGTGGTTTAAGTGCCTGCCTGGCAGATAGGATCGAGGTTGTGAGTTTGATCCCCGATACACACACACACACACACACACACACACACACACACAAAAAAAAAAAACCTAACATTTTTACTTATTCAGTCTAAATGAATTCTCTCATTCAGAACATTTCCACATTCATATCAAACCAAGAAAGCATCAGGCCTATTTCCAATATCCCACTAGAGACCAACTTCATCCCATGCCTCTGCTGCCCTTGACCATGACTCTCCTCACAACTCCAGAGCTCTTTTGGGGTTGATTAAAAGCTATTTCCAAGTAGGAAGGCATATGTCTAGGTTAAAAGATTAGTGAGCAAGTACCATTCACTGATACCCATCCTGCCTGTGGGCACACGCCTACCTGGGGCTTGTCAGCCGGATGGCTCGGATGCACACTTCTGTAGCCTTTGGCAGCAAGAGAAGAGGGTTGGGCATTCCCATTGGCATCAGCACTGGAAGAAGGCCTCCACTCATCTAAGAGATTTAAAAAAACCTTGTCACTCACAAGGAACATCCCCTGACTCCCCCCACTAATTCAGGGGTCCCTTTTAGAAAGCAGGGATAAGAATGCAAGAGAAACCATACCTGCTGAAGAATTCTCTGGCTCCAGAACTATGTGTAGGGCAGAAAGAAAAAAAACAAGAAGAAAAAGGGGAAACAGAAATGGTTACATTTGCGGAAGTAAGTGTGAGCTACAAAGAAGGATGAAATCCAGTACCCTGTTTTCTGACACAAAGTGCCCTCAGTCATGATGGCCTGATTACCATAGGAACCCACTCTAAACCATGATGTGCTCATTGGCACTGACCTTTGAAAACACAAGGCTCACATTCACAGGGATGAAGAAACAATTGTTCCTTGGCATTCTTACTTCTCAGACAGAAAGGCAACAGAACTCTCTACTGCCCAGTCCCTACTCACTAACTCTCACACCCCTCCCCTCGCTGGCAGTAGGCTCAGAATGACTGCTCCTCGTGAGCAGGCTGGGCTAAATAATGGACCCTGGAGAGGAAACGGCTAGATCCTTTTTCCAGGGGTGCTATGCTGTACTAATGGTAGAACACAATTTAAGCCCAGATACATCTGTTGATTTATATATGTTGTTTTGGGCTAGTTCCCATGATGTTTTGTTGTTGTTGTTATTGTTGTTTGGCTGCTTTTCTTCTTTCCATTAAATGAGCCAATAAACACTCAAAATTGAATCACCTTTCCTGAGTATTCATTATGCTATCAGGCAGTCTTGCATCCCTTCAGAATTCCCAGCCTTTGCCTATTGCATTCCAGAGTTCCTAAACCTCTCCCAGTTGGACTCACCAGCACAAAGAATAGAGCCCAGTGTTTATATGCTCAAGTGGCGAGGTAGCTGGACCTCAATTCAAATCCTGGCTCTACCACTTATGGGCTTTGTGATTCTGAGCAAGTTATAAACCTCAATTTGCCCATCTGAAGAGTGAGGATGATTGAGATGCCTGCTGCATTAGTGTTGGTATAAGAACTGAATGAGCTAATGTATGTGAAATGCTTAGCACAGTGCCTGGCAATGCTCATAAATCTCTGCTATTTATCACCATCTTCTATGTTACCTCGTTTCTAGTATTCTTTATCCTCCATTCTGCCCAGGGTTCCACAAGCCTTTTTTACAAAAGGCCAGATAATAAATATTTTAGGTTTTGTGGGCTGCATGGTCTCAGTCATAACGAGAGATTGAGCATCCCTCGTCTGAAAATGTGAAACCCTCCAAAATGAAATTTTTGAGCACCAACATGATGGCATAAGCAAAAAAAATTCACAACTGACCTTATGTGACAGACTGCAGTCAAAAAGCAAGTGCATTAAAAACACTGTATAAAATTATTCTAACAGTGGGGGCTGTGGTTTAGTGATAGAGTGCTTATCTAGCAAACATGATGCCCGCTGGGTTCAATCCTCATCACCACATAAACAAAGCAAACTATTGGAGTAAATAACAATAAAATAATATATCTATTTAAAAATACCTTCCTATATCTATAAGGTATACATGAAGTATAAATTCATGCCTAGCCTTAGGTTTTTTTCTTACCATACCTCATTATTTACACTTCAAATCAGAAAAAAAAAACCCTGAAATCCAAAATATTTCTGATCTCAAGTACTTTGAATAAGGGACACTCAATCTGTATCTGATCACAGAATAAGAGCGGCTACAGAGAGTACATGAATAAGGGAGCCTGCCCCTATATCCTTTTATTTATGGACATTAAAATTTTAATTTCATATAATTTTTATGTGATATACAATGCCATTCTTTTGAATTTTCTTTCTACCTCTTAAAATGTAAAAACTCATTCTCATCTTACAGGCTATAACAAATGCATGCATGGGCTAGAATTTATTCATGGCCGCCGTTGCCAAACCCTAATGCAGCCAATTCTTTACTTCTTCTTATCCCCCATCTGCATCTACTTGTCTCATTGTACTTAGAGACCCAAAGTGGACCAATACTGAAGCTCTCATAGCCCAGGCCTCCATTGCAAAAAGGGTCTCTCAGGGACTAGAGAAGGATTTTCTCTAGTCAAGTTGCAAGTTGACATGTGCAAACATTTATTGAATACCTTCCACTGCTACACTTTTACACCTATTTAGCATTTAATTTAGTGTGCATGTCAACTCTGGGAGGTGGAAATCATCCTACTTCTTGTATGGAAAAGATGGAGGTCAACTGACCTGCCCAAAATCACACAGCCTCACATATGACATCCAAACAGTCATCCCAGATCTCCAGAATCCAAGTGTAGCATCCTGGCCACCACAGACAGCTGACATTCATACCAAGCAGAAGTTGCATCCCACAAAAGTAGCTGGATTAAACAAGTTTCAGAGCAAGATGAAAGCCAGAAGTAAAGATTTTAAATGATTCACATCCATGTACAGCAGCAGTCTAGCTGCATCAGAATCACACAGAACACTTATTAAAATGTACTTCATTGGAACCCCTCCCAGTGTTTCTGATGCAAGATGTAAGAGATGAGACCCAAGAACTTGTATTTTAAGAAGTTCCCAGATGATCCACTGTATGCACTTTGAAAACCACTGAAATTAGGCACAGTCAAAAGAAAAAGTCTTTGTAAACGAATTGTATCTACGGCCATTTGTAAAACACAATTTCTATAAAATGACTCAGTTATGTATTCTTTTAGTGGGCTGCCTGTTCACATTTCTTCTAATTCACATCTATTCATCTTCTCCCCCCACGACCACAAAGTTGAGGAATGTAAAGGTCACGTTTTGCTCACATTACTGCAATGTAATGGTTTGTGTGATCAGATGCAAGTTTGTTAACCACACACACACACACACACACACACACACACACACACACACAAATTCTTTTCTCATTTATAAAATATAACCCTTAGCCCAGGTAATCCTCAAAGGCCTCAAAAAATAACCAGAGATCAGATATCCACATTTAATGTTCACTGGTGTTTCTTTGCATTTGCCTGGCCCAGAAAAATTCTTACAGCTGGCAGACATTCAAAGATTGTCTGTGACAATCTCTTCTCTCATCACTTTCACCATCCCATCTTCTTCCCTAAGTCACTATTCCTAATCCCACTTTTTCATATCATTCTTCAAATGTATTGAGTTTATACAGACACTGAATATCAACAGGTTCTGAGTAATGGGTTATTCCATGAAAGATGTGAACTCTAAACTAAACTGGGAACATGTTATTTTGCCCATTTTTGGTTTCCAGTTGGGTTGGGTTCTATTCAAGTGATACTGTCAAATAAATGTGTCATAGAAAGTTGAAGTGTGACTGTCTTTCTAAACCTGTAGGTATTCTAAAAAGATCATCATTTTTGCATCTGATTACCTTGTGCATCTTCATCTCTGTCTCATTAACTACAAATCCTAATCAAATGACCTACTTCATCAGTGAAGTGGCCACAGATCTCTTCTTGAGTCATGATGAATAAATGAAAGTATATGGAATGGTATGCTTTTTTTAAAATTGGAATCTAAAGTTCAAGGGAAAAATCCCCATAGACATGAACTAGTGTCACTGATCTCCATTTGAATAGTTTCAAGAATATATCTTGGGGATTGACCCAATTTTGCTTCACATTCCAAATCTTTACAATTTTTCCCTGACCCTGTCCCAAAAAGGCAGTTCCCAGGAACCCTTTAAATGGATTTCTTCTGTGTTGAAAGAAAGCTGCATATCTGATATCTCATCACCCTTTGCCTGTTACCTTGCCTTCTGAACCTGGAAGGATGATAGCAGCCCAGGGCCAACTATGCCCTAGCGTGTATGATGAAATCATACATACATAATCATCAATTTTTAAGTAATCATCAATTATTAATTCCTGATTGAAGAGACTGTCAAAATCCTTCTTTTGTTACCTTCTGGCTTCTGAGGTTGGAGAGATGGGAGGCCTTGGAAAGTTGGCTTCTAGGTAGATTTTGAAGCCTTGAAGAGAAATAGCTATTTTGCATTAAATTTAATTTATTTTGCCTTGAGTTTTCTTTCATCTACTCTTTTATTTTACAATCTTTATGGCCTGTGGCCAAAGTCTACTGTTATTTTTCTTTTATCTAGTTGACAGAAATCTTTTGTGCTAACTTCATTTTGGCTTCTTCTGATATTTTTGTTTGTTTCTGATGCTCAGTCATTTCTAGGATCTTAAGATGATTTTCATTGGGTCTGTCTTGATGTGCTCTGGTAGTATACTCAAGAAGTAGATGGCAGATGTTAAAAGCAGCTAGGTATTCCAAATCTTATTTTGGTTTATATTTTACTTAAACTGTATATTAGGGAATTTAAATTTACTCAAAAAGGGGCCTGACCTTTGCCCTCTGCTTCTGGGAAGCAATCTCTAAATCCTTGGAAATTACACCTAATAGGAATGTCTTTGTTTATCTGGGGGCTTTCAGTCATAACAATAATGTGATTTGGGATGGGGATTTTGAGGAACCAAAAGCTTTACCTCTTAATGGAGATCAAGACAGGCAGTGGGCATACCTGTGTACTGGAGACATGACACAAACACACAAACCTTCTGATGGGCAGTACTGGGAATACACTCTCAGATGCTGAGAATGCTGAGAAACAATGTGTTCTGAATTCATGTGGGAGGACAAGGAAAGCTAGTAACTCCAAAGACTCCATGCTATGCATTGTTTCTCTTGGATGATTGTTAATCTCCATTATTTTCCTATAATGAATCATAACTATCAGTATAACAGCTTTCAATGAGTTTTATTAGAATCCTTCAAGCATTATCATTGAACCTGAAAGTGATATTGGAATCCCCAGAATTTGTAGTTGTCAGAAGTGAGGGTGCCCCCTTGTGGGGACTTTTTCTCTCTAGCATCTCAGTTATCCCAAAGATTTGATTTGGGACAGAATATCTACAACTGTGTCAAGTGTCAGTGAATCAGTATTAAGGTTTTATGATGTCTTTTGCTGCAGCCAATCTGGGGAGCAAATATGAGAGTCCAACGAGAGGAAATGACTTATTGTAGGTCCAAGAATGTTTATAACTAAAGCGAACTTTGCAGTAAAGAATCAGGCAGTAAAGATTGGGGCCAACTGACATAGAATTAACAGAATGTAAGGCTTACCCTAGACTCTGGTATTTAAGTCAAATGCAAGAGAGGATATGAGTCTTCAAGCTGTACCAGACTGGAACTTTGTACTGCCCCCACCACCAAATCAGGTTCCTTTTCTCCTCTTTAAGAAAGGATACTGGTGACTTTGCTCTGATCTGACATGGCCAACACCCAGATATGGCTCAGCAATGTGAACAGGAAACAAGTACAAGTACTGCTTCTCCTAGCAGCAAGGAGTTAGCACTAAGATTGCTGCCATTCTTTTCAGATTAGATGGTTATGATCCAAAAGTCAGACTCCATAGCGATTAGCATTCTGGACAGGAAACCGTGGTCATGGATCTGGGATTTGGCTGCCACTTAAAAGCAGGAGTCTGGGGAGTTAGTTTAAACTGGGCTTCTCCTAGGGTGCCACCTTTCACTTCACCTCATAGGGCAATTCATTCTACTAAAATTCACTTATACAGATGGCTCCCAAATCTATGCCTTGAACTCCAAATTTCCAAAGGCTTTATAAACTTTCTCCTAAAAGCCCCTCTCTTGCCCAAGAAACTCAGTAGGCCTAAAAATGAACTTCAACATTCCATTCAATCCCTTTCCCAAATTCCCTGTCTTCATAAATGTCACAAGCATCCTCCTAGGAAACCAGGGAAGACACTTCCTGGTTAACATGAGGTTATCCCTCATTGAGCCCTCTCGTTTCATCTAGTTTTACCCAAATCTCCCAACAGTACAATCTTGAATGTATTCAGTCAATGGGATTCTATTTGTTTCAGGTTAATTTCCAAACTTTCAAGGAGAAGGAGAACTTAAGGACATTTAGAAAGACTTGGAAAGCATCTTGCCCCAGTCTCTCATACCTTATATGGACTTCAGAGTCCCTGTGACTTATAGCCAGGAAGCAGGGTAGGGAACCACAAGCCCTGCTCGACTCTTCTGTTGCAACAAACTGCCATTTTCACTCGCCTTAGCACCTAGGATTACTTTTTTTTCCCTATTTTTCTTTTTCTTCCTTTCTCTCCATTTCTCACCACAATTCTCAGCTAGCCCTTGGCACACAAGTGATGCTGAATGAATGTATGTTCATTTAGATTAATTTCAACTTACCAGAAGAAAACAATTTACCGTGAAGTACATACACTGGTAGGTAAACTCTCAGTTCTGCATTTTTTAAAACAATCTGGTAAAGATTTAGTGAAAGGCATTTTATGAAATCTCTTTTCTTCAAAACTATTTGGTAGAAATTTGTAAGATACAGAACCATCCTAGGACAAGAGGGTGCTTTCTAAATGGCCTCAAATCCACAAGCAGTTCTCCAGCACACAGAGAGTAGCCTACATTAGTGATACTGTGACACTAGAGGGCGCTCCAAGCCCCCTGTCCTCTGAGAATGGACTTAGATAATAAGGTCATCCTAGTGGGACACAGAGGCTTTCTCTTCTCATGACTTCTAGCTTGGGAGCTGCATCTTTCTAGTTAAACTCACAGATGCCTGTTTAGGTAAGCCTTGAAAAGAAGTTATTGTGCTTTCCCTCCTCAACCCCACTTTTCCAGAGAAGAGAGACTGTAACAGTCCAGGGCTTGGACTCTGCTCATCATGGAAGAGACAAGAAGCCAACTTTCCCATGGGCCCCTGAGAGAATCAGGTGGCAGAAGGATTCAAACCCACCTAAGCAAAAGCAAGATGATCTTCCCAAATGGCTTTGTACATCCCAACCCCATGCCCCAGTCTCAGGGGTAGCGCACCTGGCTTGCTTTCATGTTCTGGGGTTTCCTGAGGGCTTGTAGGGTTACTGGTTGGGGCTTCCCGATAAGAGGATGAGGCCCGGAGAGTCACTGCTCCTTTTCCAGTGCAGATTTTTGTGGGATCCATATCTGAAAAGAAATTATCCAAAAGAGAAGATTGAATCCAAGACTCTAGAAGGATTAAAACAACAGTCAGCAAATTATTACAGCCAGGGAAATGACATGAACTTGATTAAGCTACTCACAAATACTCATGGCCAATGGAAATTAATATATGAGTGGTGGAGAACAAGTGAAACCACTTGCAGAGGTTTGTCACGCATCATGAGATTAGGGGAAAGTGGAGGAAAATGATGAGTCCTGAGCAAATGTATGAGTTACTGTATCAGCTGAAAATGCCTCAAATTGAAAGCAGGTTTATTTCTTTTATCAAATGAAGTTTAGGTTGTAAGCAAACTTCTGGCCAATTAGTAATAAGTTATGTTTTAAGAAAGAGTTTATAAAGTTCTCTCAAGCATCCAAATCATCCTTTTTATCAAAAAGCAAATTGGCAACACTGGGAGTTAGAGGGAATGTTCTGAGGAGGACAGTTGTCTAGAGAACAAAAGAGAAAGCAAATCTTGTATCTGCAAGGCAAGAACTCTGATGTGAGGAGACAGAAGGATATGCAGCCTCACATTCCAAACGGAAGAAAACTCATAAGAAAGATGACCAAAAAGGCTCAGCTCCTGGCAGCAGCATTCCGTGACTTTCCCTAGAATCTTCACCGGGCTCTGACCTCCCTGACAGCTTTATCAGGGCCCAACAATGACTCGACATTTCTGAGAGTGCCCCTTCGGGAGGATGTAAAGGTACAGGTGTCCACTTTAGCTAAGGGAGATATAGTCCAAGACCACACACTACTGACCCTGACACATGCCTCTGGGAGAGTTTAATTTATAAATTAGGGATAGTAAGAGATTAACAACTATAATAATAAAACAAAACAACATATTGTAATAAAAGCTTTTTAAAATATAAGAATTATTTATTTCTAGAACTTTTTATTTAATATTTTTGGACCATGGCTGACTATGGGTAACTGAAACCACAGGAAGTAAAACTGCAGTTAAGGAGACTACTGTAAACTTCAAAAGATCTAGATGCCCCGGAAAATCAGTAACGAAGAGGCAGGAAACCAGTCCAGACCACACAATTCTAGAAGGCACATATACCAAGTGTTTATGTGCAGCTGAGTTAAGCTGAACTCCATGCTTATTTGGGATTCTTTTTCCCCAAAATTATTCGTAGCCTGGATCCTTGACCTAAAATTGCCACAATTAGGATTATGGGTTAAAAGCTTGGAGTGCACATTCATACAGGATGTGGGAGTTCATTCCCATTCCTGTTCATGTTCAGAGGAAGAAAAGTTTCTTTTCTCCTTGCTTTCCATCCCAGCAGCCAGCTCCCAACAACTCAGAACAATCATTGGTGCTGCAAAAAAGGACAGATCCACCTCTTGGATCTTCATGGAAAGGAAGAACAAAATCCACCACACGGGGCAGTGTAGGCAGCCACTCCGCCGTATCTGACTTGTCCACATTGTGAAAGGGTAATTGATGCCACAAACTATTAGGAAAAACTGGTTCGTGCTCATTTGCAATAGAGAAGAGGCAAAGCAGTAAATCCATAGCCCATCCATAGATTTCTGGACCACAACCAAATTTACCCAACTTCTTCAAGTATCATGGGAGAAAGTGCAGTGTAAGTCTCATTTGTACCACGGCTCTAAGCCAAGGCTGACATCTGAATTGTATCCCTGCACTTGCCAGGAGAGGTAGGAAGTGACTAGAGGTGAAATAGTGTCAGGACGATGATGTTCTGTGGATTGACAATTCCAGGTTTCTGCTAAGGCAGCTGCTTTTAAGTATTCTCGACTCAGAGGTTCCCTGTGATTCTTGGGGAATCCAGAGTTTTCACAAAATAACTGGGAACTGCACACTTCTAGAGAGAGCCTGTAAAAGGTCACATAGGCCAACCTCAGTGAGAATGTTCAGCCTCTGGCCTGACCCTGTGCCTCAAGAAGGAGACAGGGCCACCGCCTCTAGCTCCCAGAAACACATACACACACAGAGAGGAAGAAAGGAAACAAGCTGCAGAAAATCGAGAACACTGCCGACCATGCAAGGATTAAGCCTCACAGTCTGTTGTTAGAAGGAAAAGAGAAAGGAAACCATGCATGATATAACAATTAAAAAGAAAGAAACCAACCCACAGCAAGATACCTGGAGGGAGGACCAGGCCTGAAGCATTTTTCACTGTCTTCACAGGAATTATTTTAACAGCAGAAATAGAGCGTGCACGTAAAGGGTTGGCGGTTGCTGAAAACACAAAAGGGTAAATGGCACATCCAGAAAGAACATTTGGGAAACTTCCATGCCATTGAGGAACCAAGCAGGGACAATAGGAGGAAGCTGCCTTCTTGAACAGAACACAAACAGCAATAGATATAATAATTAAAAGAACCTGCTTTCTCTCTTCAGCGTTCTGAGCCAAGACACCAGAAACTTTTCTCCAACCATCACCCAAATACAGTTGGTCAGTACTTATCAGTGCCTCCTGTCACACAGGAGCTTGCCAATGCTTTGAACAAAGATGTGCAGAGACACAGATGGTCTGGCAGATAAAGGAAGGGTAGAGTAATCAGGGGGCCCTTGGGAGAATGCTGGATCACTTGCCCTGCAACAAGGGTTCCAAGGAGAGGGCTATGACCCCAAGCCCCAAATTAATGGAAGAAGGAAAGAAACAAGTTCATGAGTTGCCTGGTCCCCAGTCGTCATAACTTCTGGGGTCCCAAGGACCACTCTTACAATCATAGCCTTGTGGCCACAAGCAAGTCAAAGCCTCCATCTGTTGAGGAACAGATGGTCTTAAACCCACTCTTTCCAGGGAAAGAGGTGCCAAGTGTTCAAATGTATACATAAAACTCTAGGCAGAACCCTGGTCTGGATGCTGATGTCCAGCTGAGCTACCGCAAAGCAGGATCACTGTCTGGGAAGCAAGGAAAGCTGTTCACCTCATACCAAGGTGTTTGTGCTTATCGACTGCAGGGCCGTGGGATCACTGTCTGCTCAGCCTCTAATTTCAATGGTGAGCCTCCAGCAAAGCCTTTCTTGTCTTTTTAAAGGCGCTGCTCCTCAACAGTGGACAATATATCTTCCAGCCCATCACATTGCCGCTTCATAGCTCATATGCCAGTCACACTGCATACAGTTGTCAATAACTAATAATGACCATTCTGCACATATTAAGATATAAACAAACTTCCACAGAAATCATATGGACTGCATCTTGTAATCACCAGGACAACTGGCTGGACAGAAGATGTTTCTTACTGTTTTCATAGGAAGAGGCAAGAGGCATGGCCAATAGCTCAAGGTCATTCACTTTTTAAATTTAGAGGCTGATATGAGCTTAGCCACCTTAGCTTCTGGCTCAGTGACCTCCACAGGCCACCTGATATTGTTCAGGTTGTACCTGCCTTGTATCCAATCAAAAATCTAACTAAGGAGAGAGTGACTCCAACTCCATCTGCCGCCCTCCTCTCACTTCCTTAAGTCTCTGATATACACAAAGCTGACTGCCTAACAGGTTTTTTAAACAAATGGAACCCTATTCCTCCCCATGTTTTTCAGTGGATGCTTAAACATCTCTGTAGCCTTTCCATAGGTACTGCCCCATGATACTCCCTAAGTAAAACAGCCAAGATTGTCCAAGACTCCAACAAAGCAGACATGTTTCTCACCATGAGAGAAGAAGGGTGGCCAGGCAGGGAGGCAGGAGAAATGGGACGGCAGTAGGACATCTCCTGCCCCCAAGGAACCCACCCCCAACCCCTCGGCCCCATTTCCCATCTCCTTCTGCTCTCTGTACCTTCTCTCCTCAGCTGCTTCCTTCTGAATTTACATTTTTCCTTGTCTCAAAAGGAATATTGGGCTACATCAGATGGGAATTACAAAGGCCAAACAGGTCAAACTCTCTGCAACTATTCTTTAAGAGATACTGCATTTTGGTTTAAATGTCCCATGCCAGGACTTCTGCTCTTTTTTGTTGATACCATAAGATGCAGATGAGTAAGCATTCACAGAATTGCTGGTACCAGGATGAGAGGCAGAAATACTCATGGCAGAACATCGAACACTCCTATTCTATAGGTAAGAACGCACACTCTCAAAGATAAAAGGGCTCCCAAGACATCTCTGTATGTGAGGGGAAGAACCAGCCCTGGAGCTATATCTCCTCCTCCAACTCAAGTGCCTGGCCACCCCGTACTGCAAAAGTGGTGCTGGGAGCCTGGCTGCAGCCTGTGTGGGCAGCCACAGGACCAGGGAAACTTAGCCTCAAAAGGTGAGGGTGCATCTTATCCATCATGTGCTTTACATTTAAAATTGTCATAAAACTCTTTAAAACTGAAAATGGAGGGCTAGGACTGTAGTTCAGTGGTAGAGCAGTTGCCTAGCATGCATGAGGCCCTAGGATTAATCCAGCACACCCAAACAACAAAGAATCCTGAAAATATGACAGAATGTGCAAGGAACTAATGTCTCAGAAATAATTTCCTTTAATGATTTGGCTCTTGCCTCAGAGGGCTGTGACTGTGTCCCTACCTATTATAAGTGCAGGTTAAACGGCAGATAAGAGGGATTTCAGGCTGATGAATGTCACATTGCCAGGTGTGACGCCTGCCTTGGACCAGGTAGTTACTCCATTATTCATAGCAGCCTTGTGAGCTAGTGACAGCTTTTCAGTACAACAGCTCCCAGTGGGGAAAAAGAAGTCTTACACTTATGAGAAGCAAGAACACGTTCCAGGTCTCAGAAAGTCACAGTCAGGACTAGGTCCCCACTTCACAACCTGATTAAGCAAACAACGCTTTCCCCAGGCAGGTGGGGTGACCCCAGCCCAACATACTCTGCACCTTGTGGAAATACTTTTCAATACCAAGCCAGATTTCTCTTGAAGAGCCTTACCTTTGTCTTGCCCATTGCTGCTAGGTGCCAAGCCATTCACAACGGCTCCAGAGGTACCAACATCACATTCTGAAAGAGGACCAAGAGCACAAATCTTGTTACCGCACCTCCCCAATGTCCACTGAGTGCTGTGTGACATGAGGTACTGGAGACAGAGTTAAGAGACAAAGCGAGCCTGCCTTTACAGTTTCAGGAGTGGCTCCTACCACCAGCCCCCACACACAGACAGCAGCTTTCCCAGGCCTGTAAGATCTCTCTCAGGTACCATGGAAGAGTTCTCAGAATGCTATACACAAGCTATTTGGAAATGGGAAGCATACGTGAATAATATAAAGTTTTCTTGCCTCATTTCTTGCTGACGCTTAAAACAAATCTTTCTAACTTACTCATAATGGCATTTTCTCTCTGCCCACTCACCCAGCTCAGGTACACCACTTTGCATCCAGATACCAGGAGGTCAGAGAGCTTGAGCAGAAGCTCAGGTTCCCTGACACTTTTTCTTACCCTGTCCATGTCACACATATCAAAGTTATTCTGCCCCCTCCGTGAAGTCTTTAGATGCTGCTCCACCTGACCACCCTAATTCTGGTCCTTGTGCCACTATTCCAGAGATGACATGGCTTCCTGATCACTCCCCCTGCCCCCTTTGGTCCCTTCTCTACACTAACCCTCACCTGAACCCTGAGAGTATCTTCTGCACCCTCACCTAACTGCAGCACTACCTGCATTAAACCAACAGGGAGCAGAACAGGTAGAAACAACATAGATCTCTGCAGCACAAGTCTCTAAGCCTTTTTCCTTTACACATACTGTGTTTCACATTGAATTTGAAAAATTAAAACTGAGGGATTTAGTCTTAGAATTTAATCATGTAGAATATTATTTTCAAGAGGGGGAAAAAACAAATTCCAAGTCTCCAAAAGTATAAAAATGATTGTTTCGAATATAATTTTTTGAAAGTAAGATGATCTTCATTTTGACATATGATTACATTCAAATTACTAATTGATACTGTTGGTCATTAAAAACAAACCAAGCCACCCACAAGCCCCAGAGGCCACCACTAGGGACAGAGCCTGACCAACTTGCTCTGGAGTCAAGGTTCTGATCATCATCTTGAGCCTTTCCCAGCTCCATTTCTCCCTTTTTTGAGTGTGTCAGAGACTTTCCAACCCTACGCCAGGAATGCCCTCTCCCCTTGTCTAGGGAAATCCTACACATAATGTGGCTCACTTTAAAGTTCATCTCCTGGCTTCTGGAAGAACATGGCAGATAGATAGCAGCAGCTTTGGAGGCTCTCTGAGAAACCGCACTTAAAATCCAGGAATGGTGCCGGGCGAGAAATCCTAAGCAAGGGGAGATATACCCTGCTGACCCAGGAATGAACTAAACTAAAAGAAACCAACTGGAAATGCAATCCCAGTGAGATAACAGGGACAGATAAGGTCTCAGCATGGAAGCTGGAGCCTGTGCCACTGGAAGCTGCAATTTGAATTTCCTGCAGCCGCTGCTGCGTCCCAATCGGCGCGGCAACGAAAGAGGCGCAAAAGCTCTGAGAATGGGAAGCGGTGAATGGAGTTGAGAGTGGGACTAGCCGGAAGCCCTGCATCGACCTGTGGTGAGTGAGCAGATCAGGGACCCTTCCATAGGAGGCTTCAGCAAAGGACATACTGGGATCGGGCAGACTAGCCAGAACAGGTTGTTGCAGTGACTTCAGTCATATATTCCCCTCTCAATCGGGATTGATGGGGAGTGCCTGGCCTGAGTGACCCTGCTGACTAAGACTCAATAGGCTAGCTCAAACCAGGTCCCAGTGCCTAGAGGTACACCCTAGCAGTGAAGCCTTCCGTAGGTTGACCTGGAGGGGCGGGCCTAGCAGAGGCTGCCCAGGTCTGTGTCTTCCTAGTACACTGCAGTGGGCGGGAACACCTAGCCAGCACAATTCAAACAAACTGTAACCAAGAAAGAAAGAAACTGAGCCTCCTATATTCGCTTGTATAAAAGGAACAAAAAATATGGGAAGAGGGAGCAACAAGAAAGGGTCCCTGGTCCCCAATCCTGAGAAACATGCAATATCAGACACGGCACCAACAGACATAAAGCGATATCTCTAGAGCCTCATAGATGAGTTCAGGAATGAAGTTATTAACGACCTGAAGCAAGAATAAGTACAATAGTTAGAGAAATGCTAAACACTGCCCAAGAAAAAACAGATGGTGGAATGGAAGAACAGAAAAAAAGGGGAGAATTGTTTGATGCAGAAAATAGAAAAAAAAACATAGAATATGTGAAGCAGGTTCAAAGAGATTACCAGGAAACTAAAAACTCTATCAAAAACTGGCATAACAGCTTGAAAGAAACTAAGGATAGATTATCTGAACTGGAGGGCAGATTTCTAATATGGGAGCATGAAATGAAAACTTCTTAAAAATAACAAAAAAAAACCAAAACAAACATCAACAATACAAGACTAGAAGATGATAAGAGGATCTATAACTTAAGAATTAAGAACATAAAAGAAGTAGGAACACAAACAAATGGACTACAAAAGCTATTCACAGAAATACTCCAAGAGAATTTCCCTAATTTAGCAAAAGGTAAAGATACTCAGATGTATGAGGCATACAGGACTCCAGCCACCTACAACCCAAACAGAGCTACACCCAGGCATATAATAATCAAAATTCAGAAATCCAATATAAGAACAGAATATGAAAAGCCGTCAGAGACAAGAAACAGATCACTTACAAGGGAACACCCATCAGAATTACAGCAGACTTCTCGACACAAACCATCAAATCACAAAGAGTATGGGAGGAAATAGTTCCAGCTTTGAAAGATAATAACCTCCAGCCAAGACTGATATAACCTGCACAACTGTCCCTAGAAATTGATGGAAAAACAAGGTGCTTCAACGATAAAGAGGAACTAGGGGAATTTGCAACCACCAATTCAACTCTACAGAGATTACTGCAGGATATTCTAAAAAAGGAAAATACCAAGATTCCAGAAATAGTGGCAGGAAGGCCACAATAAATGGAACAGAGGGCGAAATGAAGAAGACAAACTGACAACAAATGACAGAAAAAGAGCTCCACAGAAATGAGGCAGAGAAGATTGGATGGTAGGAATAGCTATTTTGGAGAAAACAAGACATCATAATAGTTAGTGCTGATTTAGTACGATCTTGTTTTGAAGTCCCATCAAACTTGTATTCTTCTGTCTCCATCGGTCTTAAAAGGTTGTATCTTATTGGATTTCATTATATATGATAATATATGTAAAAACTTTTATAGACAAGGAGATTATACAGAAATCATTGTTCATTTTCTGTTAATTGGTTCTAAATACCCTGTAATAATGTCATTCTCTTGAATGGTTTTATAGTGTCTTGATATGTTTGGTGCTACAGTATACGAAATTATACTCAAAGCTTTCAAGAAAAGAGACACTATGGTAACTATTTTTATGTCAGGATATCTTGTGGTGAAACACAATTTTGCTTAAATGGTTATGTTTTGACCTGTGCTGTTCTGTTATTATGCCCTCTTTTATCTCAATCCCCCTTTTTAAAAATTATTTACTTTTTTCTTTTTATCTTTTTAATTAAGGGAAAAATAAATAAAAAATAGCAGGATACATTATAGTAACCCACTTTGATTTCCTATTAACTTGATTTGAAATCCTGTATTGCCCTCACCATCTTGTTTTGACTGATTTTCCCCTATTCTGCTTTGCTTGATAGTACCAAGTGGGAAAGTATAGGCATAACTGTGAAGACAATAAGAATCATTATGACACCCATTCCGGTTGACTATTATCTTCTTTTAAAGTCCTGTAATGGCTCCAATGCTTTGGTTTCATTCTTTACTGCTTTGTTCAATTTTATTATAACTGGCAATTATTCTTAAAATAGCAAGAGGCAGTATGGTAACCATTGTTGCTCACCTTGTATTTTGTTTTTACATTATCTATTATGTCCATCCTTTTGATTTGACTGACTCTGTTCTGTTATGTCACATTTGGTTTTACTCTCTTCAAAAAAAAGTAATAAGAACTGTGGGAGTAATAAAACCCAAAATGTGTAATTGTCGTACAAAAGAAAAGAAAAGAAAAGAAAGTGCTCTAAAGGTTATAACTGCATATATGTTTAAGTGTATAAAATAGATAACCATATTAATGAGTGTTTTTTGGATCATTGAACAAAACTGTTTGCACTCTCATTGTTTGAACGTCCACTTTATATGCTTCAATTTTGTAACTTGAACAACTATTTCTAAGATGAGAATATGTAATCTATTAACTAGTGATTTCTTACTGTTTATTTTTTAAATTTTGTATTACTTGTACCCTTTTTCTGTTTTTTTCTTTTTCCCCTTAAATAAAAAATAAAAATAAAGCTCATCTCCTTTGTATCAGTTGAGAATTCTCTGAATTTTTTTCAGCTGCAAATAACACTGAGGCTTGCTCGGCCTCAGAATAAATGGAGGAAGGTCAGGGAAAACAGATACACAGGCAGACAGACCCTGTCACCCTGGGACACATGGCCAGTGTTCTTGGAGGGACCTATGGCAGCAAAGAGCCAGCCAGCTACATGACAATCATACCTTCTAAATTAAACATCTATTTGCCTACACCTGAGGATCCAGGTTCAGCATTTTACAATTAGCATCTCATTTTATCTAGAGGGAGAAGTTAGAAACTACTATTCTAGAGAAAAGAAAACTAAGGCTTAAAAAAAGAGAGGGCTACCCAGGTCACTACCTCAGGATGTGAACTGTCCCAACTCACTGCTTATCCTCTTCTCCACAACTGGAACAAACATTTTTGATTCCTGAGTTGTTCTATATTCTATTTACCCAGATGCTGGGCCTAAAGCCCAACATCAGGCTGAGACTAAGACATCCTGCTGAGGCTTTTCACAATAAGCAGCCTGCAGGGCTGAAAGCCTACCATAAACTACAAGGACAGGCTTGCTGGCTCCTCCCTGGGCCCTTCAGAGTGGGGCCTCCACCCCTCCCTACCCAGACCCTGGCTGTGGCTCTTTCATCACCAGCATCACCAGCACCTGCAGAGGAAGCCGCATTCTCCTGATGTCAAATCCCACCTGAGCCTTTGTATCTGGTCAGTGTTAGTGGGAAGGCTAGAAATCTAAAAAGAAGAAACATAAGTTCCATCTCCCCACCATTTGTTTGCTACCCCTTCTTTGGTTCCCCTTAATCACATCATGTTGGACTGTTTGCCCTGTCTTGGGCACCCCTGAGTTCTACCTTCAGCTCCAGCCCATAGTCTTCCTTTTCTCTTTTTCTCCTTTTAATTTACTAAAACAACCAAACTGAAAGAAAGTTGGAAAAAGTGTCTTAAACTCAACAAATCCAACACTACAAACTTAGGCCGCTGCTGAGCTATGTCAGTGTCAGCAGCCTGTGTCCACCGCCATTCTGTTATGCACTAGTTGGTTGACCCTGGACAAGTTTAGCTGCCCTATCCATATATCGGACACAGTAAACCAAGCCCACAATTGGGGGTTTCCAGGAGAATGAAAGAAGATCATGCAAGTGAAACATTTCTCTCAATGACTACCAAAAATTGAAATGAAAAAGAACACATTATTTTCATGCTGCAATTCCCATAAATGATGTAAGCAAATTTTCCGCACATTTCCTGTCTTCCCACTGATCACTTTTAATGCTGGAATAAAATTCTACTAAGTAAATACAGTGAACTTACTCATTCCACACACATACAGGGTGAAATTTTGGTTCCTTCAAATTAAGCTAGAGGGGCTGGGGATTTAGCTCAGTGCCATAAGTGCCTGCCTGACAAGTGCAAGGTCATGAGTTCCATCCCAGGTACCACACACAAAAAAAAGACAAAGTAAGCTAGAAATTCCCAAGATGGAGGTCAAGGGAGTCAGGGTCATGGACTCCTCCTAAGCAATGCCTCCTTCTAGAACCCTACCTAAGAGACATCCTAGGTACCGCCACACCCTCATTTCCCTTCCAGACCCTCCCTTCCTCCTTTTTCCATCCTTACAGTTAAGGAGCAATGTCTTAGCTTAATCTGACATCGGTAGAGCAAGAAACTTAATATTGATAGCAAAAGTTAAAAAATAAGTCAATAAAGAAATAAAAAGGTCCCAGTCTATTTTAAATAGCAAAAACCAAAAGGAAAACAAACACCAAAACAAGTACAGTTCTTTACAGATAGTAGGTACTCAAAAAATCATTAACAACATAGGTGGTAATGGTGACTTAGGACAAGGTCCTTTGGCACTCACTCTGGATGCAAAAACTAAAACATAAAATGCTGCCAGGGCCCTGTATGTGGAAAACCTTGGTAAACAGGTGGCTTTGTAGTTTTGTCAAGAAAGGAAGGATTTAAAATGACTTACTGGAGCTCATGGTGGTAGCAAGACAAGCCTTCTGCAACTGGGACTCTGAATTACTCTGCAGAAAAAACAAACACCACACAAGAGAATTAATGAATGGCAGGTTCAAGATGAATCCCCACAGTTAGCATTAAAAATGCAAGTGTAACCTTTGTTACAGCAGAGCCTGCTAATATCCCTTGGCCACACTTCTTTTTCATGCCTGGCCACGCAGTTCTGTGACCCAGGGGACATCACTAACCCTCCCCAGCCTCAGTTTTGTCATTCATACTGCGTTTAGCTGTCACTCCAGATCTCTTCCACTCTAATCTACTAAAAGCTTCAAGTTATCTGAGCACATACAGTTCAAGAAGAGTGTAAAGGAAAGATACATATATTTTAAGAGAAAGAGGTAAGACCACAACACAAACTAATCATTAGAGGTTGATAATGATAGTGAACACTCATATATAGCTAAAATACAAGGAATGTTCTAACTCCCTAAATATCTTAATTGATTTGATCCTTACAATAGGCCTATGAGGTAAAACACTAATATCATGTTAGTGCACACAGATGCGGAAACCAAAGCACAGGGAGCTCAAACAGCCTGCCTGTCTGTGTGGAGAAGCTGATACTGGAACCCACATAGTCTGACTGGTGGTGAAGGCTCCAGGGCACTGTGCCCCATCACCTGGAGGTGGGAACTAATCGCTGACATTCACATGGATAACCCTGCTTTAGTATGATCTCCAACAAAAGGACACTTACATGTACTGGTAACACTCTGCTACCTACCCAGACATTTTATTGAATAATCATTTGTACCTGCCTGAGAAACGTATCCAACTAAATTATGAAATTTGATGGATCTCAACAAATATATAGTACCATAACACCAACATAATCATAATGTAGCACATTTTCATCACACCAGAAAAGGTTTTTTGTGCCTTTCCATAGTCAATCCCTGGAACCAAAGATGTGCTTTGGGATGAATAGGGCTCTGTGTGTGTGTTACTGGAGACTGAATCCAGGGTTATATTAGGTATGCAAGCATTTTACCATTAAGCTACACCCTCAGCCTTTTCTTTTCTCATTTTCAGAAATGGTCTCACTAAATTACCCAGGTTGACCTGAAATTTGGTGATCCTACTGCTTTAGCCTCTGAAGTTGCTGGGATTACAGACATGCGCCACCACACCCAACTAGTACTGATCTGCTTTCTGTCAGTATAGTCTGACTTTTGCAATATTTTCTATAAATGACACATATATGCAGTCTTTTGTCCCTAGGTTATTCCAGTTTCATAACCTTTTCAAAAAGCAGCTGGTCTCCTATCTATCTCCGCCTTCGCACAACTGAGCCATCTTTACTCAATGACTCACCGATTACATTGCTGTAGCTTTACATCTTAAAACTGAGTAGTCTTCCAACTTCATTCTTATCCAAAACATTTTGACTATTTTAGGTTATTTGAATTTTTATGTGAAGTAAAACTGTCTTATCAATTTCTAACAATAACAACAAAAACAAAAACTCTATTGGAACTGTGAATGGGATTTTGTTGGCTCTAGATCAATCTAAGGAAAGCCAACAATTTAACAGCATCAGGTCTTCCAGTTCATGAGTGTGGCCTACCTCTCCTTTTGTCCAAATCTCCTTTAATTTTGCCCCCACAATCTTTCACGCTGAAAAAAGTATACATCTTGCACATTCTTTGGATAATGAGATCTTACTGAACACATCTGTAGGCTACACAGCCAGACATATGCAGAACTTTGATGTTAAAATGTAGCCCAAAGACCAGCAGCATCGGCATTAGCAGAGACTTATTAAAGATGCAGAAACTCAGATTCCATCCAGCACCTCCTGAAGCCAAATCTGCATTTTAACAAGATCCCAGGTGGTCCCTTTGCCCTTGAAAGTACACAAAGCAGGCATGTAGGGGAAATCACTGGTTCATGATTTCTGTAATGGCGAGTCAAAATAGGGTATGAAAATCTGCATAAAAAACATGCTTTAGTTTCCTTTTCTACACAAGTTGGCTTAAGGCACTGGTTTCCTTTCTGGGTTGCTCTGCTTACTATCATTCTTGGATTTCACAGAGTAGAATGGAAGAGTGGAAAGAAAATCACTCTCAATCCTCTACAGCCTAAATCAACAGCAGCTCTGCCTTTGCTGTTGTCAAATACACCTGAGATTATCCATGACCTTCAATCACCCCCTCAGATTGTTCTCTAAACTGTGAAAACATTTGTTCTTTCAGTCCAAGAACATACAACCTACTGTGTTCTCCATGCCCTTGTGGTTTCTTATCTTACTTTTATTTACCTCTCAGGACTAAAAGCACTGCTCGGATACCATCAGCCAATGTTTTTATTTTATGAATAATTTTCTTAACTGGGCCTGGTAGCACAGGCCTGTAATCTCAACATCCTGAGGCAAAGGGAACAAAAGTTTGAGCCTAACCAGGGCAACTTTGAAGACATTGTTTCAAAAAAATAAATTAATAACTTTTAAAAATGGGTGGGATATCTACCTTAGCAGGAAGGCCCTCAGTTCAATTCCCAATACAGGAGGAAAAAACATAATTAGTTTTAATATGTCAGTTTTTATTACACAATTTTTAAAGCTTGATCAAAGAAATCTTTTGATTCAACTATGAAGTTATCTTAAAGGAACTTTTTATTCCTTACATAGTTGTAAACATATCTGGATAGCTTTGTTTCTTCATTTTTTAAATATTTATTTCATAAACATTTTTCGAGCTTTCTACACAGTTCATATAGCTATCGCTTTAATGGCTATATACTATTTCATTGTAATAACACTGCATGATCCACTTACCAATCCTCTCTATATAGTTTAATTCATCTTCATTTAAAAAAAATAAACACAAAGGGCACACAGCAACTTATGGGAATTATCTTACGAACCAAACAAAATGGAAGCTTCAACTCACACATGGTAAGTAGTCACTGGCATATGTGAGTACTTCTTTGCACACATATACTTCTCGGTACTTAAACTACTAACTTCTGTCAGCCACTTTACTTGTTTATCTGCATTCCAAGAACCTTTGCCAGTGCAGGCTGGGAAAGAGGGTTTTCAAGGGTTTCATCTGGAAAGGGGTTTCTTCATTCCTCTCTGCTGAAGTAAGCTTGACCTGAGCTGAATCCCAAGATTCAGTAATGGTTTTTCCTCTGCCACATAAAGAGCTCACAGTCAAGGCCATGAGACCCATCTAGAAGGTTGCACAAATCAAGCCCAAGCAGAACACTGAAAGTTCTTAAAGTTTAATTTTGTACCTATTGCTGCTTCAAAGATAGTACAGAACATTACAATCAAATGTCGGCTTGAAAATTTTAAAAACCAAGCAGCAAAGAACTTGATTTGGTTGAGTGCTGTGTATGCCTCCACATTATTGAATCAAACATCTAGAAGTCCTCTCTAAAGAAGCCAGGCACCTTAAGGTAAAAGCCAAAGAGGAAAGAGCCATCGCGTGGCAAAACCGGACAACTGCAAGTAGACAATTATTTCATGGCAGGTTTCAGAAATTTAGAGTTATGGCTCTGGTGGGCCAGCCAGGGTAAAGTCACCATTCCCCATGCGTTGGGCTACAGAGCTCTATCATAGTCTTCGTAGGGCCTTCGTACAACATTAGGACAAATATTTCACTACAAGAACAAGATGTGAAATGGCCAGAGTTGCTAAGAACACACCTAGATAACTAACGATTCTATGTAGCCTCTCCCTCATTCCATGACCCTATAATTTTAAGTTTTGATGACAAAAAAAAAAACTACTAAAAATCAAAATCTATGCTTCTAGATGCAATAGAATCAAAGAATAAAGATTAGTTTTCTATTAAGGAAGGAAACAAGGTATAAATGTGGAGAATTTGGGGATGCATGACTAGGGAAACTTGAATTTGTCTGTAAAGCAAAGTCAAGGTTCAGCAGAGATTCTTGGAAGAAAATGAGCCTTTGGCTAAGCTCTTACACAGCACTCCAGCTTCTCCTGTGCACTGTGAGATTTTCTGCATACCTCTCCTGTCCTCAGCACTAGATTATACATATCTGGAAGTGAAGGATTATGTCCATCCTCACCACTGAGACACTCAGTCAAGATTTTGCCCCTGTCCCTACTTGGCCTTGAGAACATAATTTTGGATTCTTACCTTCAAAATAACCAAGACTCTCCTTAACTCCACTGTAGCTGTTTAAAAAGGAGCCAGCTCCCCACTCCGACAAAACCCCAGTTATACTCTATCTTTGAAATCTAATCTAGGTCTTGATTTTATACATTTGTGCTACCTCCAATAGCTTGAAAAGAACAGAAACAGCTCACAAAGACCCAAAATAATGTTCAGTCTTATTTCTTTATACTTTGCTGATCCACATTTCTCCAATTTTTCAACAGCTCTTTCTTTTCTCAAAGTCTATTAATGTCATTTCTCTTCAAATGTATTCTCTACATTATTGGAGGGAGTGCAGAGGCTCTTCAGAAAGCCAGAAAAGCTAAACACTGAGTTGCTGACACTTCCTTTTGAGGGGAAGGAACTAGGATAAACTTGACCCGGACACTAACTTCTGTCAGGAATCCCATGACATGCTGGGGGCTCAGAATTCCACAGGCTAAAGGTTTCTGTATAACAACCAATGTTTCTAGAAAGGGAGCAATAGGAAAACACATCAGAGAGGCCTTTCTCCACATCCTCCCATTTCCTCCTGGAGCTCCTCCAACTCGGTTTCTGTTCTATCAATTATCTGAAATGGCCTTCAGAAAGGTTCCCAGTGTATACACATGGCCAAGCCCAACAGTTTCTATATTAATCAGAGTTTCATGGACCCACTTACTGCATTTAAGACATAACTCCCTCTTCCTCCCCACAAACACTTTCTGGTACTGATTCCTAAGTGTCACTGTGAACTGATTTACACTGGATCATGGTGACCCTCTCTGTAGTTCTTCTAGGAGTTTAGAAGTTCAAGGGCAACAAACTGGTGTTTATTCCTTTCCAACTGCACGCTCATTTCCTTGCAAGTTTCATCTGGAACATCAGAATCAGAAGGG